AAAGCTGCAGTGTGATAGCTGAAAGCTGCTTCTCCTAAAGACACAGGTCCTGGTCATCTTCTTTCAGTGCTGCATTTGTTAGAAGAGTTTATTCATTAGTGGTTTAGAGTGACAGACCTCTGCACAAAGGGGTTTTTCTTTATCTACCAGGCTGGGCAAGTGGGGATAGCTCTGAAGCAGTGAGATGAAGGGGAATCATGCAGCCCCTCAATGTCAGGGTCTGGCAAGTCCAAAGCTGCAAAAAGTTGAGAGGGAAACTGCCTGCAGTGGCCAGCGGAGCTGGATTTGTTTGGAGGGGGGTTGCCGGAGAAGAAGCACGGAGATCCCCTGCTTTTTTCATCCTCTGCCGTAATCCTCCCTTGCGGTCCTGCACAGTGCCTGGAAAATGCTTGCAGTGAGGTGTTCCTGAGCAGTGATTAGCGATGCAGTTAACAAATGCTGGTTTACATCACTTGGGGATAAATCCACCTTCTGACCATCTGTAACAAGTGGATCTGGTTTTCTTCCGATTCACATTCATGCCAAGCAGAATTACCTTCATTTAAATCACTGGTGTTTCTTGGAGAGTAACCACTATGAGAGAGTTGGTCCATTGGCAAGATCTCTTAATGAGTCACGTACTGTGGGGCAGAGATTATGTCTCTCTGGATGATTTGTTCATTCTTGAACATGAGGGGCCTCAACAGCTAGCAAGAAGTTAGCTCTTATTATGAAATGCATATGTGCAACTCTGAAGCTGTTAGCCTTGCAGATACCGGTAATCTGAAAGCAGTCTGCTTCACCTACTGTTGTATTTGGAGCAAGTGGATTTGGTCACTCATGCATTTTTTTTTTTTAAAGTACTGTCAGATCTCTCACAGGCAGTATTTTCTAATGAATGCAAATGAAAATTGTGATTATCCATTTCAAAGCAATCGGTAGCAAGCCATCGTTGCGCACAGAACATTATTTATACAGCTCATAAGCCCCAGTGATGCTCGTGCATAATTCCTCAGACATCACAGTGATAGAAATTGCCTTCAGGGCCGGACTTTCCAAGTCAGCCTCTCTGTTTTTAAGTTGCAGACATTGTCACTTCAATGGCTGACTACTTGATTTTGCAGGTTCAGTTTGATGCGCATATGATAGCAAGCCCACGCTTGCCTGCAGATGACAGACTGCACCCAAAATGACTTGCTCCTCTTAATAGCAGTGAATATAGTGACAGGCTGGCAGCTCGTAGGGACTCTTGGTTCTCTCTTCTTATTTTCCAAGTCCTTCTCTACTACTGCCTCTTTGCAGCTCTATTCTCATCCTACTCAGCACTTGCCTCACTATGAAAAATTGGGGCATATCATGTGTTTACATATATGATTGCTCTTAACTTAAACTTTATTTCCATGTCTTGCTCAGTCTCTAATTCCAGTGCATTGAATCCTGCTTGCTGTTTCCCACATGGGTAGTCTCTCTCTCACTGCTCAGTTTGAAGGACTCTTCTCGGACCGGTTAAAAATGGAATTCACCAAAAGACACAAATTATCTCTTCTTGTCCCTGCTGCACTCCTAGGGAAAGTGAATATAATTGTGTCTCTTCCTGCTGTTAATACTGTAGTCACTACATCCAATAATCTTTTGGGAAGTTTAACTTTTAAAACACTGGGCAATTTATTACCCCCATATATTAGCTCTCCTTGGTAGCCGAGAGGTACAGCAACAAACTGCAGTGAAACTGGGAAGGTAGAAAATGTCCGGCCAGTAACATCTTTCCTAAGAGACTATGTTAACCAAAGGACTAATAAAATCTTGTTTAACCATCATTGAAAGACTTTTTGGTAAATGGCCAACCCCGGTTGGTCTCTTGTGTATAAAAAGTAGTATAGAAATGTTCCTTCTAGCATTAATTCATATCGGCTTCTGATGCCCATCTCCTGTACATCAAAGAGAAATGCTCCTTTATTGCACCATTTTACATTTTAAAACATTTAAGCTTGTAGCGCATTCCACCTACTTCTTTTTGCAGTGGCGCTCTCTGCCCTTAGTCCTACTGAAATATCATCTATATTGGTTGGTGTTTCGTACACACGTACAGCCTGGTCCCATAGTAGGACTAATAAAATCTTGTTTAACCATCATTGAAAGACTTTTTGGTAAATGGCCAACCCCGGTTGGTCTCTTGTGTATAAAAAGTAGTATAGAAATGTTCCTTCTAGCATTAATTCATATCGGCTTCTGATGCCCATCTCCCCTGTACATCAAAGAGAAATGCTCCTTTATTGCACCATTTTACATTTTAAAACATTTAAGCTTGTAGCACATTCCACCTACTTCTTTTTGCAGTGGCGCTCTCTGCCCTTAGTCCTACTGAAATATCATCTATATTGGTTGGTGTTTCGTACACACGTGCAGCCTGGTCCCATAGTGGTGAAGTAGAGATCTTTCCCTGCTCTCATATAGGGCTTAGGGGGTTTTGGCCAGGCAGTCCCTTGTTGCCATGCCTGTGTTTCTAGTCCTCCACTGACGTGTGGGAGGGAGGTTTCTCCGTGTAATCCACTGGTAGCCCCCAGAGGTAAATATCCCATTCTTTTCCTTACACCGAGGACAGACTCAGCCTAAGGTTGAGTCTCAGCGTTATGGAAATACAAAGCACTCTCCCAGCCAAGCACTGATCAGAAGGTTGTTCTTATGCAAATCCAAACAGGACAGTGTGAAAATGCTTAAAGCGAGGCCCCATCTAGGGCAATGTTACAGACTTGTTAGTCTGGATCTGTGAAATCCATTTTTTCACTGAAGAGTGGAGTTTACAGCTTCCAAAGCCAGATCGCTACCTGCCTGTTTCTCAGTGTGTCATCCATGTCTCCTACCTACATTTTAATTCCCTTCCCTTTATTTTCCAAGTATTATCCCGTACAACAGAGCAAAGGCTTTATTACTTTCTCTCGCACAGCGTAGCCCATGTGTTTCTATCCCCTAGCTTCTCAAGTTGGATGTGTCTAAGTGTGACCTTTTGCTTATAGGTAAGAGCAAGAGGCTTTTAGGAGTCGACACAAGGTTTTGCATTTCTAGCATGCTTGGCAGCTGTTTGCTACAGTCATCCATCGAGGCCTCTACAGAAATTGGTAGGCTCATCCCTGACTCTAAGAACTTACAAGTCAAATGCAGTAACCAGACAACCTCCTCTTGCTCAAGCTACTCTTGCATGAAGTCACACGGAAAATCAGTGAGTGTGAGGGCCAGGGCTATGCCCCATACCTCTTCAACCATAGTGACCCATCTTGCACGCTGGGGCATGATGCTGCTGACTGGTGACTGCTTTCAGTTACATATCTGTTTCCAGAATAACACCACATTTAAAAAAAAAGAGAAAACAGTAACTGTTTATCCTGGCTGAGCTTGTGTAACAGGTTTTCATATGATGTGTTTAGTGTTTAAAGTCTTTTTTCATGAAACTGTTTCAGTATCCAAAAAAACCCCATTTCCCTTACTCAGCTTCATTAGTTATAGGAAATCACTGGATTAAAGTAGAGAGTAGATTAGCAAAAAATAAACCGTAGTATGTCTTGGGCATATGGTGCTGCGTATGAATGGGTTTTAACTACTTAACTGTGTATAACAAAGAGCAGAAGGAGAGATTTGTCTTAGCATGCAATAATTACAATTTGCAGTAGCTGCATAGCTTAACAGTCAGAACCCAGAAAGCCACGGAAAGCTTTCGGTTAGGATTTGCCTGGGGGGGGTGTGCCTGTCCCCAAGCTCATGCCGCGTTTTCTGCCAGCTGACAGCCAGGCACGAGACCGGACTTAGCTAATTAACAGGGTGCCTCTCCCTCCTTTCCCTTCCTCTTTGCTGGGCTCATGGTTTGCAGCGCTGGGCTAGTGTGGGTTACAGAGATCAGGATTTAGCTCGTCGGATGCGGGAGCCAGCACTGGTCCCGGTACGCTGCTCCAGCGCACGGGCCAGAGGGGAGGCATGCTGTGGGCAAGCCCGTGACAGCCCAGGCTTCGCCTCAGCTGGAAATTGTCCCCTGCAGAGCAAATACAAACAGAAGTAGTAAATAAAAGAGGCCTCAATGTCAGGGTGATTGCTGGGGAGTATCAGCTTTCAGGCTCTGGGCACAGACAGCGCAATACAGCCAGCTTTGAATTCAGACGACTCCATAATTTCTAGCTTCATGCTTTTTTTAACCAATATCTACCATTCCCCTGTGATACTTCAACCTACAAAAGTCAAATTTATGCCTTTTCTACATAAACCCAGCTCACACCGGTTTGAACTTGGTCCTGAGACACAAGTCAGTGCAAACACTGGTAACGTCCTGACAGTGCTTCACCTCCTGCTTCTCAGGAAAACTGTCCTTTTCCATCTGGGTGCCGAGAGGTTTCTGAAAACCAAGCAATGGTGGTGACATCATTTCCATGTCTTAAAAAACCTGCTTATAAAGGGATATAAAGATTTGCAAAGCCAATCAAATCTAGTTTATAAAGTAAATTCAGAAATACCAGGAGAATTACCTGGTGTTTATCTGGGCTCCTCAGTAGGTTTGCTACCACGGATTAACCAGTAATGTTACACCACATAGCTTAAACATGCATGTCCTTCCCTTTTTTTTTTTTGAGTTGTTTTCCTCTGAGGTTTCCACAATGTGTTTCACATCCACTGTGAGTAACATTCTTGGACTTCTGCCCTGGATTAATCAAACATAAATCATTGCCCCATGCAAAAAGAAAGTTTTGCCAAAAATTGCAGTCGTCCAGAGAAGAAGAAAAGAGATTTTTTTTTCCTCTGTGAACTTTTAACTAATTTTATTCCTTTTTTTTTTTGTGGGAAATTTTGTGCATTAAAAAATTCACCGACAAGGCCCTGATCATCTTGGTTTTTTAGTGATTAATACGAAAAATTAAATTCCCAGCTGCTCAGGAGAATATTCTTGCTTTCTCCTCAATTAGTTTTATGGTGGTGAGCCCTGCCAAACTTGCAGACTTTGTGTTTAGGTTATCAATAACTCAGCATTACTTCTATTGCAGAGTTCCCTGAAGAGAAGAGGCAGCAGAGAAATGCACAAAGAAAAAAAGGCATTTTCCCAGGTATGGTTTTTCAAGAACATGCAATTTTGAGCTAAAGCACATGATAAAACTCCAAATTTCTTTTTATGGGTGTTGACAGGACCGTCAGGCATATTAACTAGAGTGCAATTAGACCTTAATCTACTGAGACCTCCCAGAGATTATGTAGAAGCAATTTAGGACACAAGTGTGATCTCTAAACCGTGCAGCTTCTCGGGCTCATTGTGCTTGTATCCGTATATTCAGGCTGCAGGTTTTCTACAAGAAGAGAAAATCACCTTGCCTCACAAAGTAATTGGATCGCGGCTTAGGGACTAACTAAATTTATACACAGTGCCAAACATTTTGTGCTAATGAGCATCTTGGCAGGGAATGCGGTTGACACACTGCAACGACACCTCGCGAGCTCTCGTGTCGCAGCCCCAGGTTTGATCTCTCTCTGGTGTCAGGGGGCCAGCATGTGAACTGGTGCTCCCCCAGGCTGAGATACAACACAGAGCCTAAGCTACCCACTCAGTCTCCCTTTGGACACCAGTTCTACTGAAATCCCGTAGGCTGATTCTTCTCAGGGAGGCAGTTTGCCTGGTTTCCTCTGCTTTTTGTGCTGACTGTAGGAGTTAAAGCTTTTCCCAGCACCCGTATGGGTACTGTTTATAGCCAGAGAGATGGGGATAGTGTTTCACCTCACTGCGAAAGGAGCCAAGAGCAACATCATGCCTTCGTTAAAGAAAGGTTGCGCCTCCCCTGCTGCCCCCTCAGCAGGCTATGTGTATGCAGCCGAGACCCAAGAGGTCTTCTCTGAGTCGATGGAGTCTTAAAATCCATTGATTTGTAATAATAACCATAATAAATCATTACAACGTGTTGCACTTGAGTGGGTAGGGCGGGCAGCTGAGTGGGTAGGGTGGGCAGACCAGGGGCTGGGGGTGGCCAGGGGCTGCAGCCTGCTTTCCCAGGACAGAGCAGACCAAGCACCCCCGCTGAGCCCATACAAGCACGGCTTAATCAGACCTTAAAATGGGGCACTGGGCTTTCTGCCTGCAGTGCCTGCTACGGAGAACTATTTAAGTCATCAGTCAGGTCAGAGAGTTTGTTTTTCTGCAAGTCTGCAACATACATGGATGAAATAGATTTATGCCCTCACGTATGTAGATTACAGATGAAGCTACATGAAGGCAGGGTTGTGTCCACTGGGGTCTGTGGGAGGCACTGTCCTTCCTTTCCTCATTCCTGGAAATACAGAGCGGTGCAGAGGGAACGGATTCCTTGTGCTTGCTTCCTCCGCCCAAATTCAGGCATCAACAGCATCTGTAGTTTGCCTTGGAAAGTCTTAAAAAGGACTTCACAAAATTATCTGAGTAACCCTGGGTCAGCTCTGCTCCACTCACAATGTGGGTAAGTGATCCTGGAAACCACCCGGGGAAAAAAAAAAACCTTTACACTGTACAGGTAACTCATGCAAGCAAAGGATTTGGGCTTGAAAATGGAAACCATTGCGACAGCACTGTGCAAGGTGGCCATTCAGTTTTCTTCAGCAATTCTTTAGGGTAGGAAAGACTGAGAAACAATCTTATATATTGACATGGCCCAGCCTATAGATGCATGTCCTAGCTATCTCCCAACTCTAGGCTGCTACCCAGAGCTGTCTCCAAAGCCAGGTATCCCTTCAGAGGTATGTGCTGGTTGAGACTAGAGCGCACCACAGCAAGTGCCTGACCTGGTCAAACAGCCGCCGGGTCCTGTGGCATGGCTCAAAAGGGTTAGTACAGCTACAGCCTGGGTGGTTCAAAACACTGCTCTTCAGGGACAGCCGCCCTAAATACCTGAAATAAGTTCAAATACCCATTACATGTTCTGTGAAAAGCAACCACAGACTTAGATTCTGTGCATCCCCATGCTTACAAATATGTATAGCATATGGCAAGACCGGTGTTTTTACTTACTGGGAGCTTATCATGAAAATTAGCTGGAACATCGCACCCACCGCAGGGCACACCAAGTAAATAATACCTGTGAAATTGATTGTCTTGAAGTAGTGTAAAAGCAGAATTCACAGTAGCGCTTACCTGCCTCTAGCAGTATTGAAGAAAAAAAGTTTTTATTCAGCAGAATTGCAAAACGGAGCTTCTTGGAAAATACCAGGCACCAGGCAAAACACAAAGAAAAGTGGTTCTCCAGCGCAAGGTAGGAGTGCTGGCACTCAGCCAGATGCTTGGGTGCTGGTCATACTGCCCTGTCGTCAGACTTGCAACCCCAAAACTGCTTATCCATCTTCTGCCTGGCAGGTCCCTTGAGCCGGTGGTGGTGGTAGAGGAGATGGCATTGGTCTCTATCTATCTTTGTGTCTTCTTGCCAGAAAAGAAATATCATATTTGGGAATTTTTGATCAGCTCTTCATTCTCATCACATCATTTACATTGCATAATGAATTTAAGTTCATTTCCTTCCTTTAAGTTTCATTTCTTTATCTCCACGTTCTACATTTGTCTAAATTAGACTGCAGACTCTGTAGGGAGGCATCTGGGTTTTTTCTTTCTGCTTTTTTTTCCATTAACATCCCTCTGAAGTGCCATGCAGAGCTGTGATGCTATTGCATGCAAATAATCACTATCAGTAATCATTAATTCCCATTTATCCTTAATGATCTCCTAAAGTCCGTGACTAGCACCATGACTGATGGAACATTTTTTCACTGTCGTTCCTTCTTTTCTTTCTATACAGTCTGCCTTACGTACACCTTTTAAGAAAGCGTCCACATACTGGATGTGAAATACAGTCAGGCTGTGCCATAGCCCAGCTTTCAGGCCCTGGGATTCGAGCCTCTTGTTCCTCCAAAACAGTGGAAAGACTGTATTCTCCTCCCCCCCCCCCCCCTTTCTTTTCCTTCATGATTTAACTAATAGTGAACTATTCTTAATTTCGGTGATTTGGCCTCTCCTTAGTTTGCCTTTTATGTCAAGATGTACGTATGACATATATATATGTCAACTCTACTTGCCTGTGTGGGTGTCTCGCCCTCTTGCTGTTTCTACTTGGTTTCAACTGATCAAGAAATCACTGATATTTCTGTACACAAAGTTTCAGAGGAACAGATGCATGAAGGTTGGAGTCCTACCCTTCTGGCATGCTTAGATCTGGCTGATAAATCCCTCCTGACTATTCTTTTCCTTTGGAAAAAAGCTGTCCGGGGAATGGGATTTTCAGTAGTCATGTTCCCTGGCAGAGAAGCAGGGAAGATCTAGAGCTTTCTCACCTTTCCAGATGGGATCCATATTTAGTAGGCGAGATTAACATCCATCAGCTCTGTTGTTTTGTATGAGGCTTGTGTTTGTTTAATGAAAAAAATGTCCTTTGTTTCAGCTCTTGTGAAAAACAGCACTTACAAATGTGATCCTTTTTTTTCATAGACAAAACCTAGCAATAAAGTAATGCCGTTGTAAGAAGTTAATGGTGGTTTTGTCCTGCTATAACAACGTGCTAACTCTGCAGACGCATTGAGTCGTGCAGTGATGCCGAGCAAAAACACTGGGGCCCTGACCTCAAACCCATCGAAGCCTTTCCCTTTTCTTCAAAAGCTTCAAAATGCTGAGTGCGTTGTCCCGAGAGCGACTCAGTGACTGTTATTTATATTGCTCAAAATGCAGTGGGTGTCAGGCTGGAGCCCCCTCTGACCCCCGGGGAGGAGCTGGCCCCTAGTGCTCCCAGCCGGGGGAGAGGGGCACGGGCAGGCTGGCCCTTCCCCACCAGCATCGGTCCAGCTGCCGGCAGCCAGGGAGGTGCGAGGTGCCAGCTAGTGCCACTGATGGCTGGGCTCTTGCAGCCAAAGGGAGACAAGAAGCACGGGGAAAAATGCTGGATTACAAAGACAGAATAAGGAAAATGTCAGATGCGATTATTTCCAAGCTATTAACAAATACATAAATAAACTGGAGTAATCACCCCACCTGTGAGCTCTGAAGTGCAGCACTGGTCTGGATGTAACCCTCCTTGTGATCTTTCTATTTCCCTAAAAGCAAAGCCTACAGCTGCGGGGATAAACTGATTCTCGATGAGAGGAAAAACAGAGGTAACGTATTGTGCAGCCCTGACCAAAGATGATGCTTTAGTCATACAGCCTAAAGCAACCCAGAGCAACCAAAATTCAGAGTGACTCCAGTGGAGGCTGCATGAAGTTTTGCCAGGTTTAAATCTGATACTTAATTTGCAGTTTCGAGTTATAAAGAGAAAAGCAATTTGCAAATACATGTGTGAAAAAGAGGTGTGTGTATGTGAGGTGATAGAGAGGAAAGAAAGCCAATCTTCTAGAGGCTCCGCTTCTAATCAATTATATGCACCTCGATTGTATTCATAGAAAACTCACATTTCTGATGCCAGAAACACAATGACCAGAGGTTTAGTCAATCAACTGATCAACTGATTGCAGTTGTGTTTGACTCCTGGTTATCACTGAAAAGCACATATTAATAGAAACTTTGGCTATTGTTTACCTCTATCATGTTATTAACATTTAAGATAACTTTTGTACTATTTAGTATTTTAATGTTCCAGCCTGCACCAAGCAGAATCAGTAAGCTGACTGAGTTCACAAGTATACAACCAATTACTTTTGTGGCTGTTTAGGTATTAATACCTGAAATTAAGACATAATTAGTATATATCTAAATAGAATGGGACGAAATTAATCTAGGTGACATAAAAGACACCATTACCAATGTGCAAGGATGTGTGTTTTAGAAACTAAATCGTTTCCTCAGATTGCTGAGCCACAATTAGTTTTGTAAATCTTTTTATTTTTTTAATAGCCTGATCTGGGTGAACAATTAAAGTCAGTCATGTTTTCTTCTGGCTTTGGTTGCCATTGTTAGGAATTATAACAAAATGGTGCTTGTGAAAGATAACAGTGCTCCGGAGACTGAAATGAAGTTTCCATAGATAATTGCACATATGTCCACATGGCCTACCAACAATGATGAAATCTGCTGTCTCAAGAGATCATCTTTCAAAGCCTGCTTTCCATTATACTGCTAATGCTGATAAATGTGTCTCTTACGAGGCCAAGTGCCTGTATCTCCATGACAATTCATGAAAGTGATTCATGCAAAGAAATTGTTCATCGGCTTAGAATTTACTTAACCTTGTCTCTTATTTCAGCACAATACACACTGGAGTTTTCATTTGAGTTGAGATGCGGTGCTTTAAAATGCCCAACACACACAAAAAAATCAAAATCTCATTCAATACCCTGGTGCTTCCTGAAAAATGCAGGTTTTCACATGGGATGGATTTGGACGTAACTACAGTTTAATGAATTTTTCTTTCCTTTTTCACATGTTTTCACCACTCTCCCTTGTGAACAGTTGTCCCTACCAGAAACAGGGATCACAATCTGGTCCATCCTAATAATAACAGCAGCAGAGACAGCAGTAGTGCTTCCTATTCAGAAAGTGAGTTAGGCACTCTGGCTAGTTCACAGCATTGTGAGATCCAGTAATTGAAGTCTTCTCTTTGCAAGGCAACCACGCATCTTAGCACACTTTTTTTTATGCTTTCTAGCTGAAGAAGCCCGAGATTTGGGATTACGATGAGCAAATTCATCTGAGTAGTCTTTGTTTCATGATGCTGAAAGGGAGCGAATGTATCATTAAACATAAATGGAACAGAAAGTTCCAACAAATCATGGCACCTTTTCATTTGAGTCATTCTTATTTTCCACCAAATTTGCTCAGTATTTGAGAAAAAGTAAGCATTGTGCTGGCACTCTTGCACCACTGAACACTTGCATTGGCACACTGATTTTTTTTTTTCCCTCTTTAACTCTGGTCAAGCTGCTTTGCCAATTTAACCAGGACCAAGCCGTGAAATGTGTCAACTGTGTGGTTTGCGCAGCTCTGTCTGTGTATTGTTTGCATACCTAACAGATACAGCTCAGAGGGTGGGGAGGTGGAGATTTCGGAAGGTGAGCAACTGATTGCGCTTCTAATATAATCTTTGGGGGGGTGATTATTCTTGGCAGGAGGATAGCGCTGATTTGAAGTGCCAGCTCCAGTTTGCTAAAGAGGAGGCAGCGCTGATGCGTAAGAAGATGGCCAAACTGGGGAGGGAGAAGGATGAACTGGAGCAGGAGCTCCAGAAGTACAAGTCCATCTATGGAGACGTGGACAGTCCCCTGCCTACCGGGGAGGCAGGGGGCCCGCCCAGCACCAGAGAGGCCGAGCTGAAGCTTCGTTTGAAGCTGGTGGAGGAGGAAGCCAACATACTGGGCAGAAAAATAGTGGAACTGGAGGTGGAGAACAGGGGGATTAAAGCTGAGATGGAGGATATGAGGTGCCAGTACGAAAAAGAATGTCTCAGCAGGGACCACATTTCAAGCATTCCTACCTCGCCCTACGGCGACTCCGTGGAGTCGGCCACGGAGCTGCGCCGGCACCTGCAGTTTGTGGAAGAGGAAGCAGAACTGCTGAGGCGGTCAATCTCCGAAATCGAGGATCACAACAAGCAGCTAACAAACGAGCTGAACAAATTCAAGTTTGAGCCAGGCCAGGAGCCAGGCTGGTTGGATGACGTGGCATCCAAGTGCGGTGGCACCTTGCAAGAGGAGCTGAAGTCGGCCAGGTTGCAAATCAACGAGCTGAGCGGGAAAGTGATGAAGCTCCAGTATGAGAACAGGGTCCTGATGTCCAATGTCCAGCGTTATGATCTTGCATCTCACCTGGGCCTGCGCACTTCCAGCCCCAGGGACAGCGATGCCGACAGTGATGCCGGGAAGAAGGAGAGTGACAGCGAAGAGGGTCGCCCACCCCAGCCTAAGAGAGAGGGGCCCATCGGGGGTGAGAGCGACTCTGAAGAAGTGTATGAGAAGACGTCGGGGTTTGGGAGTGGGAAGCCATCGGAAGTCAGCGACCTGTGCTCTGCCGAGCTCATGAGAGTGAAAGAGGACACCGAGTCTTTAATTAACATCAAACGTGAGGCTGAGCGGCTCGAAAGGACTGTGGACCGCCTTATCACCGATACGGACAGCTTGATTTATGATGCGAAGGTGCACATAACCAGCAGCCCATCCACCGAGCAGGATTTCAAAGGTGATGAGGAAAGGGGGGAGGATAAGCACGAACCGGAGCTTCTGGACACCATCAACTCCAGGATGAAAGCTTTCCGGAAGGAGCTGCAGACCTTCCTGGAGAAGGTTGATCACATTGGGGAGGGCCTTAAGGAGCAGATGGAGGACCTCTCCCCTCTTCCCCATCTCACAGAGTCTTCCAGTTTTCTATCCACCATGACATCCATGTCTCGAGACTCTCCCATTGGTAACCTGGGGAAGGAGTTAATCACTGACTTCCAGGTAGGTCGGCCCCTTGTTTGCCTTCTTTCTGTTTATTGTTTCTCTTTCTTGCTGGCATCGCTACAGTAGAGCTAATTTTCCTCACAGCTGCTTTGTTATGATTTCAGACCTGCAATGTATTAAAGTGCGTAATGTTAAACAAACACTTTACAGGTTTTTTTTCTTTTGTTTGTTTGCACAACTCCTTTGATTCAGAGGCGGTTCCTCGTGGCAAAAAGGCTAATCCACTGGTGCTATAGAGATCTGTCTTCTTTTTGTCTGTAACAGCAGTGTTTACCTGTGAAAGAGGAGATTAATTAAAAAAAAAAAAATCTGATGAATGTAAATTAGCAGCCTTGCTAAGAAATGTGAGGAGGTCTTTATTATGCTTTCTTGTAAAAGGGTCAGGCGTGTTCTCAAAAGCCTTGCCAAAAGAACCCAACCAAATGCAGTTTTCTAAGTGATGTGTTTTGAAAAGCCTGCTTACAGCTCACTCCCCTAACCGAGCAGCGAGTGAGAAGTTCTGTAGCCAGCGAAGGACTGCCTTGCCTAAAGCGTTGCCCATGGGCGCATGTCTAAACTGCCACAACTGCCACACTGGATATGGCTTTTCTGCACAGCACAAGTAAGGAAGGAAGAGCCTTGTGTCCCATATCCTTCATGACTTGTATGCTTGCTGTTGGTTTGACTCATGCATCCTCATTGCATGCGCCTCATAACCAGTGTTTGCATTCTTTTTTCCTCTCTTTCTCTTTTTTGCTTTTCAGATGTTTCAGCCCATCATTTTGCTCATCCTCATTTTGGTTTTATTCTCTTCACTTTCTTATGCCACTGTATTTAAGTTGGTTTTTCTGTTCACGCTTTTCTTTGTCTTGTAGTTTTTCAGTCATCTACCTTACCCATTTTTGTTTTCTTTATTCCCTCCTGTCCTTTTGTTTTTTCGTTATAAACCGCCCATGCACCTAACAGTCCAAACTGAGGGATCAGATGGAGTGGCAGCTCAAACAACATCGTGGAGAGGAGCGAGAGATTCACCACCAGCGAGCCACCACCGACCCACACCGCAGAGCTGATGGAGACATTAAACTCTACAGGCCAGGAGACAAGGGCTGTTTCAGTCTAGAGGTCAGCAAAGCAGCCCATCTTACTCACTGCCTCCTGCTGCCTTAGCCAGGAGATGAGTAACAGAAGCCAGGGGTTGGGGGAGTAAATTGGACCAAGCACAGCACCCCTGTTGTGAAATTTGTGGTTGACCTCTTTTCCCCCTTGCAGTTTTAGAGAAGCAAATTGGTCCTGACTTTGGACTCATCACCCTACTCCCCGTAGCTTCGCTAAGTGGGAAAATATGGCTCAGGGACCCACTACAATTGAGTGTAGTAACGAAAGATCTCTAAAAGAAGTTGTAATCCCTGATGTGAGATCATGCTTCCAGGTTTCACCTTGTTGGATATTTTAAATCTGGAAAGTCCACAGATAGAGACTGCTTTGCGTTTTGCCTGGCAGTAGTCTGCGCAGGAGAGGGTTTGATGCTGGTGTGCATGGTGATTCTCAACAGGGAACACAGCATCCTGCAGCTTCCAAAAAACCTTATTTAAAGCAGAATTCTCCATTGTTTGGGTTGTTGAGTACTTTTCCATTCGTCAAAAACATTGATCAGTTTTTATTTAAATCTTCATCCATGCAGAGGCCATATCAGCCTCAGTAAACATCTCCTCAGCTGCTTTCTCATGAACATAGGTTGTCCAGACACTACAACTGGTCCTGAAGAAAACAATTTCTAATCTGTCTCCACAAAGGCGAGCTGGAGCATTGAACAACTTTTCTGCTGGCCACTGGGAAGCCAAATCTACCTTGAAACTGTGGTGGTTAGAGTGGCTTCTAGTGAGGGATGAGTTTTAATGTGTTTTAATTCTAAAGATGCATGCAGAGACCTTAGTATATCTGAGACCCCTAATTGAGTCTGGGAAAAGGAGAATGCTGGCTGGGACAGCTGGGTTTGTGAGTAAGCATTAACAAGCACTAGAAGGCAGGGCTAGGAAGAAAAAGCTTCAGGGTGGCTGGTAGCCAAGCAGCTTAGTGAATATCAAAGGGAGAGTGGCCCTTCATCCTAACACAGGTAATTCTTTGCTGGTTTGGTTTTGTTTGTTTTAAACTATCCTGACAGTGCAGAGTTTTGGTAGTATTAGAATAATTAATTTGTTCAGCAGCTTCTCTTCCAACTTTTCACTTTTACCAGTGATAATAAATCTCAGGAAGGATATCTGATAAACCTGGGACACCGTGTCTCTCACTGAAAGGTAAAGTCTTTCTTCCTCAGCTGTGAAATGGGACGATGAGGTAGAGAAACCTTGCCGTTCAGCATGGATCCTTTTGCAATTGTATTGGTCAATAGTTATGGTAGATTAGGTCAGAAAATCACCACAGCAAATATTTACAATATTTCAGTTTAGATTCTGTCATCTTTATTAATTCCCTCTTACCTTAGATCAGCCTCATTATTATATGAAGTCCTGTACATGTGAGCCCTCTATTAAGATTAGGGATTTGGGTAATTTTGGCACAACATCTTTTTTTCCTCTCCCAGGATGGGATGATGTGCAAACTGTGTACAGCAAACTGTGTTTAAACAGAGGATGGGTAGTTTTCACACCATAGCCTGACAAGGAACAAGTCAGTAATAATAATCAAAGGTAGAGAATATCCAGCTGAGGTCTAGATGTGCTCAAAAGGTGAGCAAGGCTGGGGCTCAGATGGCGCAACCTGAGAAAATGTTGAAGACTAAGGTGTTTGTTTCAGCCAGGTTTACTTAAGCAACAAAGAATATTACGCTGCTTTACACTGAAACTTTTCAGTGGGTGGACAGCCAATTGAAATCTTATAATCTGTAATAGTCAAACCCAAGTGAAGCAGAAGATTCCTTCAAATAATTTTGTATGGTATCATTTTTAGTCTTTTTTAATTTCGTACACTGCACTAGCAAAAACTGCCAGTTTTTTTGTGCCAGATGAATGAGCAGGAAAAAATATTATTCAAATACCAAAGGGGTTTTTTTATTACCACAGAAATTTCAGTTGGAGACTCAAACCTTTCAATGCCCACAGCAGATATGGCTACACATAAGCTGTTATCTGCTTTAACTTCTGAAGTGAAAATATACGCACTGGCCAGTGGATAACATTGATTGATGATCTTCTTACTGTGTATGGACTTTCAGCATGAGAAGAGCACATTTCGTTTCAGTGAGGCAAATGTTTTCTTTTTAAGCAAGGAAACCCATTTTTCTAAATTCTTTTTTTCCAAGCTGAATCTTAAATTGAAATTTTCCCAAGCAATGCTGAGCAACTTCCATTTAGCCGTTTGTCCTATTTTTTAAAATGAGCATCGTGGGAGCCCAATTGTTTGATTAAATACAATAAATGCAGACTGACTTGTGCTTGAAACTACCCCGTAGCCTAACTGTAAACTTCTGCCTTTGTTTGGGCTTTGCACTGCAGTTGTTAGTGCAACAGTATTATTAGAATGTATTTGCATGTTAAAGAAGTGGGTTAGAGTCACAGTCCAAGGGAAATTATATCTTGAAATTGCCTTAAGAGCAGGGCTTTGTTTTCTTGCTGAAACAAGCCATTCAGCTGCTGTTGCAGGAGGTTGGAGCCCATTGGGATGGATGTTCAATCCATTATTCATGATTTTAGCAGAGCCGGGTTATGATGGGAGGGGGAAATCATTCTTTACCATCCAAAGAAAGAGCGAGTGAACAACAAGTGAGAATTGCCCTGACTAAAAGACACCGAGGAACTAAAAAAGGTAACACAATGCTTCATGGAGCAAACGCCCGGCACAAATCAAAGGATTACTATGGCAACAAATGGGAACCAGTGGGAAAAACGGTAAATAATTTTTCATCTGGTGAATTTTACCCTTTTTATCAATGGAATATCCATAAACAAAAGGCAGCTTCCTTAAACAGTCTCCTCTTCTTTATTCTGAAACAAGAAGACATTCTGGAGAAGAAAAATTTCACTCTTTCAAATGACCAAATATAGTTTGTTACAGTATTTGATACCTGATGCTCTAAAATAGAGCTGTATCTCCTAGCTCTGATTGTTCCTTCAGAGGGAATCAGTTCTGCCCTTACCTGAGTACAGAGCACCAAAGGCAAAAGCACTCTTCTGTGCATTTCAGATTTGGATTATTTTCATACATGGCTTTTAAAGACTTACACATTTGTTTCTGTGCAGAAAAATGCCACAAAATCTCTGACACTGCCAGGTTATGGAAAAAGAACCACTGAAGTGAATTCACTTAAAAGGAACAAGTTGTCACCAGAGAATTAAAATAAAAGCAGATAGGGTAGAGAAGGTGAGAGCATGTCCTAAAAAGCAAGTCTTCCACAAGGTCTAGTAATAAAGTAGGAAGAGCTCACACTGAAGAATAATTTCTTCTAGGCCATTCTTAATCTGTTTATCCATTTTCCTTACTTATCATGCCCATAAGAAATATAAAAAAATCTGTATTACTCTAAGTTAATACCTGGGTTACTTGAGGACCGACCAGATACAGTGATGTGCAAGTTAGGTAAGTCACTTTACCACCTGCTTTGAGTCAAAACTTCTGTATGGATCCATTTTGGACATACAAGGAGAATTTTGGTCTATATTTTGAATGTTCCATTTTTAGCTGGTTTTGGAATGTCTGTGCTCCTTCTGTGCAATTTTCATAATTCCACGTGAGAGCTTTTCGGCTGGATGGCTTTTGCAGCAGCTCCCAGCCGTGTGATGAAAATTTACACATCCTTTTCTCTTGCCCTGATTTAAGATTTTGTTTTCCCAGAGAGGAACCAGTGAATGTTTTATACATTGTGACTTTTCTTTCTTCTGGAGGAAAAAAAAAAAACCACCTCAACAAATGAGGACCACATAGAAAGTTGTATCTCTTAGTGTCCACTATTCCTCCAATGCAAAGTTGTGGGAAGAAGAAAGACAAACTGGTGCTGACAGTATTCCTTCCCACCAAGATTAGGCGCAGCAAGAATAATTTACTTTGATGAATTGTATTCTTTCTTGCTATGCAAGATTCCGTAAAGGTTGAAATATAATGGCTTAAAAGACCCTTTATGATGTAAATCTGGATATCCCAGTCCTAACTGAACTCAGTGAGACTTTGTGTACTATCTATACAATGAGATGGATTTTTAAAGACTTGGAGCAGTGTTCTGTGTTTTCCCAAAATGAGAGACTCCATATAAGCACAGACAAATAACCACACAACTGCCTATTGTACACTAGCAATGGAATATATGTCATTTATTTCTAAGGGGTGGGGAGAGGAGTACATCTTCAGAAGCAGCCTCTGAGAATTCAGTTAGATGTGTATTGCATGTAAAAAGTAATACAAAAGGCACTGGAAGTTCCTATATGGTCTGGTTGATTGTATGCATGCAATGGTCAGCCGTCATGTGTGAAAAAGTAGCAGGTTTTAGACTGCGTGGTCAAATGTAAGGTCCAACTATCAAAGCGTTATAACATAGCGTTAGGTGAGCGGCGTAAAATGTTCATCTTTTGGCTTCCTGGAATTGCACACAAATGCTGGAGAGCATCTTTCTACCCTGTCTCCTCAGGCCTTATTTTGCTCCATCCCTTCTGGAGAAAAAAGAAGGCTAAAAAGAAAGATTCCATGAAATTTGATGTTCACAGTTGTCGCATATAAACCGATTAAGTTTGCAGGCAAATTGAGATTGCAATTAGCTATGGTAAAATGGAGAAAACAGACAAGTAAAACCCAGATGTGCCTCATGGTGCATGGCAATATTGTAAAAACAAGTCGTGGTAGAAATGTGGGATTGTGCAAGCTGAAAAGTAACCTGAAAAGCCTTCAACACACTGAGAGGGGCAGAAAGGGGTCGGTGCAATAAGGGAGTGGTGGTGAAGCCCCCAAGGCGTGGATGACTTTTCTCTGAACATCCTCTTGAGGTTAAGACATCGGCGTGGATTAGCTTGTTCTGGAGTGATAACAGGTGAGAGAAAAGGACTCAGCAGAAGGATTTGGCACTGCCTGTCTGAGAGGATGGGAGTGGAAGTGGATGTGGAAATGCAATAATTGGGATTCATGGGAAATTGTCAGTTGGTGTCGAGCTGCGGATGAAGTGCAGCTGCTTCTGTGGTGCTGTGATGGAGTAGCACTAGCTTGTAGTTCCCATTATAGTGTGTTTGTATGTCTTGTAGTGGGTTTGTGTCTGTTTCTGTGGTGTCGGTACGTTGTGTGGTGGCCATCACATTTGGGGTGTTTTCTGTTCCTTGTGTAGCGTGTTCATTAATGAGAACAAAGGAGACAAAGAATGGAAGTTAAGAGGTTATCAACTTTTGTGTCCATTTTGTAGCAGTGTTGTTTTCCAAAACAAAACAAAACCACAGTTGTGCTACAGACTACACGCTGCTGATTACAAGATAGGGGCCTGATATCCACATATAAACATACAGACATCCATCAATGCAATGCCAGGTACCTGAACTGTGTATACAAATATCACATGATACATTTCTACACCTTCTTCGTTCATGATCCAGATGTTTAGCAGCAATCTATTAGGCGCTTAAGCAGCCTCATCTCCCTTGATTTGAGCAGTACTAATCCCAATGCTTCTGATAGAAATGACATTATATGAAATTATGGACTATGAAGAGTTCTCAGGTTGCACTGGAAGGCAAAGTTGTGCAGCTCTGTGTTCATGCATTAACTGCTTTTCAACATGTTTACTTTGCTGCTTATAAAAATCTATCATCCTTAAAGAGGCAAAGCAATTGTAAAAAAGATTTGAACTGTCTAGTGTGCTTGTAATAGTCTATCTGCCTTTATGATGTGTTTAATCTCTTCCTAGTAATTCCAACAGTTATCACATAATCCCAGCGCCCAAGTTTCCTGAAACTTGGCTTTGCATGGGCTGCATGTTTACCAAAAAATTGCATGAGTTTATCATTTTCTTGGCCTAATTTTGCAGACATAAGGTGGTGTCAGTATATACATAACTATGTGAGTCCAGTTAATACTAGTCTAAGTAGAAGAAATAATCTTTTAGCAAATCATTGTTCACTGGAAAACACAAGTGTGAAGTGAATAGTGAAAAATTCAAACCTTACCTTCCTGGTAACTTTTGCTGCTCTGATTCTGCTTCCAGTTTCAGGATTCCCAAGACCAATAATATTTCTAACTATCTAAATGTGTAGTTGTATGGCTGCGAGGAGAGTCATATTAAGATCAGTTATGCTTCCTACATATTTTAAATTAACAATGTATGCATTTTTACATGAATCATACTGTTTCCATTTCTGGAGGCACATAAGATTTTTTTAAGTGATTACTGCCAACAGAAGAGCATTGCCATGTTGTATCTGTTTTCACCAGATCGATTTTGCATGATTTTGGCTGATTTTGAATTCATAAAAAGAAGGATCACAATTTTTTAAAATACACCTGAATTAACTAGGTACATTGGTTCTTATTTACCATTTTCCTAAAGAAGCCGGATCAGAATAAAAGAATGCAGAAATTTCTGTTAAAAGTAATTTTTCCTTTATTGAATGAGAAATCTAAACTGATATACCTGTGCATAACCATCTCATGATTTACAAACAATTGTGCAAAACTGGCAAATTCCATCGCAAGCAGTTCTTTCCAAATTATTTGTGAGACTGAATTTTGACCTTGTGCAATACAAAATGTCTGCAGACACGTTAAGGCATAAGATGAAATCGATAAGGCAGATAACGTGCTCTTGGTCACTTTATGGTACCTTTCAGAGGGCTGGAAGTGTCTCTTCCTCAGGTACAAAACAGACACGCACAAGTCAATAAGTGAATCAAGTAAAGAAGGAACTGACAGGGCCCAGAAAGTATATGTAGGGTGATTTTCATTGTTCAGCGGAGTATGGTCCTGCGGGTGGTTTACGGGATGCTTCCATCTGCCTTATCTCCTTTTTCCCTAGAGGAGAGGAGCATCTATTCCAGTGACAAATACTTTTTGAATAACCAAAAGTGTCCCAGCAAGGGCTGCTGTGGCCTGAAGAGTGGCAGCAGCTGGTTTTGCTCTCGGGAAGTGGGAGGAGTGCTCAGGGAGAGGAGATGGCTGCCGGGGCTGATGCCGGAGGAGAAATGGCAGCGCAGCCCCCGAGAGCGGTCCCACAACCTGGATTACATCCTTCAGCTGCTGAGGTTGGAGCATGCTGGACTTTGGCCAGCAGAGAATTTGGGATTACGCTTCGAAGCCTAAAGTGATCCCTTCTTTAAATGCATCTTTACTCTGGGAAGTAGGAGTTTGGTGCCGTAGTGTTTTCTGTGGTCACACATGTGAAGAGGATGGCGTCTGGCCACTGACCTTTGTACAGACAAATCAGTTTTAGCTCCAATGTGAGAGGCACAAAATGAAGGGCATAGAAAGTTCTGGTCAGGAATACAAGTGCCACAAGATTAATTAACATAGTATAAATAATGAGATCTGACTCTGCCTTCTTGGGCCTTTATTTTTGAATTAAGTAACTTTCAGAAGTAAAGTGGATGGGATGCCAAACTTAACAAGAACATAAAATTGAAAGCATTAAGATTAAAATGGTGTTGGACCTGAAAGGGGAGATACTTAAGCATTTTGGTCAGATCTCAGGCTCACACAGCTTATCACCGTGACATTTGTGAAGCAATTATTTTGAGTAGAAAACACAGAATGAAGTCGACTTGTGCGGGGAGCTGTCCTGTATCTGAAGAAAGGGACCTTATATGCTTAGTTGGTTTAATAAGTGCTATCCCCTTAATTGCCTAATCAGAAGTGTCGCAAATGAATAAATAACTAGGTTCAATATATGTGCATTAGATGCATCTTCTGCAGAGATATTAAAATTTTATAGCTTTGATTATCGTAAAGAAATACGCCACCAAATATGTAATCCTGTAAGTAGGAGCTCATCTGGCAAACGTCACTGATGGTGCACTGTCTCAGCTACTCGAGTACAAACCCGGAGCAGAGGCCTGAAGGGAATATCCAACATGTAACATCAGCATCCCAGCTTCAGTTTTCAGAAGCCACACAGGAACTTCCCAGACATATTTAGGGCATTGCTGTATATTTGCACACTGTGCTTTGGTTTTAACTATTGATAACCATGAGTTGTGCAGATGTCTGTCCTGCAGTTCTTTTCTTTTTTCCTTTTTTTTTTTACACCATGGAGACATATTTTCTGCTAAACCTATCCCTTTGTCCTGCTGATCGTCTCAGGGATTCCCATGTTTTACCTGTACAGAATGTATCGATACAGGAGCTTCAGGCTCAGCTTGAGCAGGAGACGAGACTTCACCGAGAGGAGCAAGAAAAGTTTACAGAAAGGATCATCCAGGTAAATACGAAACCCGCCTGCTGGGAGAGATGCGTGACCATGATGTGTGGCCTGGACCTTGTTTGTCAGGACCATGGGAACTTGTGTCCTGATGGCTGTGCCTGTTTGACCTCATCTGAGTAAATGAAGAATCTGGAAGTTTGCCACTCTGTATCTGGCTTTTCTGCTTGGTGGAGAGAAGTTTTGTGCTCCCCTGTGGGGGAAGTCAAGGTAGAGACATGAAGTACTGCCTGGGGAATTATATCAGCCCCTTCAGCTCTCTGTGAGCTGGGGAAAGGTGTGTTTGATCTCTGGGAGCACAGTTTGGCTCCATGCCTTATTCTGACCCCTCCTAGCCCAAAGAAAAACCAACACTCCTCTGAAGTCGGAGGACTTGTTACACGCTCATAACTGAGACACAAATCAGGACTTTTTTGTATTTCTCAGTACCCCATGCTTCCAACCCTCTTATTCATAACTGGTGAATAAATCATATTTTGTTACATGGGGTCCCCTTGCTCTTTTGAAGGCTGGAACAGATTAGTCAATCGTTTTGTCATATCTAGTTCCTAGAGCGAAAAAAAATTGTTGCTAATTTTTGCAGGCTGTTTGGCTCTTAACTGAAATTTTCTTTTTAAATTTACTTCATAGACTAAATTCAGCATAATTGTTGCATAGTGTAAAGCATTTTTCCTTGTGCCAGCTAATCTCGTTAGGCCCAAGTGGTATCTCTCAGTCTTTTCATAAGTAGCTTTAATTTCCAGTTGATCTCCATAGGAGCTTTCTCATGAAGGCTTTTGAAGGCAACCAGTAAATTGATTTCCTTCCTAGTTGCCTTGGCCATGAAAGCTTTTTGGAAGCTATGCCTGCCTCTTAAAGTTCTTTTCTTTTGCAATAGCTATCCATTGAAAAAGCAGGGTCTTCTGCAAGAATTTGTGACCACAGGGACTTAGATCATAACAGCTTGTAAAAACAATGGAAAATGCAGCAAAATCAAAGCTAGCTATTCATGTTGACAGCCAGTAGAAATAGAAGAATAAAAGCATCTTCTGGATTCTTCATTTTTTTCCAGATTATGCCCATCCTGTTGATATTGTTCCTTTTTTATCATCTTCCAGGATTTCTGGTGGAAATGACTCAGATCTTTGCTGTATTTAACCATAACTTCATTTGGTGGAAGAACCTGCATCGACACAAAATCTATTTGTTTCTTCCTGTAAAAATTAAATTTAAAATAAGCCCCTTTTGCACTATTTCATTTTTAGCAGTGTTTAATGACATCAAATTGATGTGTGCTAGCAGTGTACAATCTCCATGAGTGTTATTAGGAGTTGCGTGGATGTTTTTTGGGCCATTATAGCTAATTTTGTTCCAGACTACTTTTAAGCTGCATTTTAAACCCATGTAAGCTGGCAACTACTATAAATAATTTTAATTTAATCGGGAACTTTTTAAGGCATAGTAGTGTAGATGCTGAAAATTTGCATTATGCCAGAGCACATCATTTAAAGGGTAGGAAAGTCCTTAGTAAACCATCTAGTGTGGACCAGTAGCCTGTGTCAGCAGCATCTGAATGTTGCCGTGAAAATCAAGCATATATTTCTTAGCAGTATTAATTGCTAGGGGGGCCGTGCTCCTGAAGAAGAATCTCTGAAGTATTCTTCATTCCTGTGTGAATGTTCTTTGTTGCAGGGTATGTTCTTATGGTTTAAATCGTTGTGGTCATTAGTGTACTGTGGCTTTCATAGATTTCATCTATGGAGCTGGTCAGCAAAGGGAGAGGCTGTTGTTCCGCAGAATGGAAAATAGTAGAAACTGGCATCTGTAAGCAGTGGCTCTGTATTCATTTTCCATCTGCCTTTTCTTGATCAATGTGAACCACAGCCTGGTTGAATTGGAAACACTATCTCATCCATGCAGAATATGAGATGTTGTACAACTAACTTGTACAAGTGCTACTGGGCACAGGTCATGCCATGGTTCGATTTTGACATATTGAGGGAGAAGTCACGTTTAACGAATAATGTTTCAGGTGGCCTTGTGTTGAAACAGATGTAATTATACGCGTGCTCCAAAGAATGAGCTTTTCTTGGTGCTTCTAGTACTAAAACTGAGACACGTTGAATGCCAAGTTGCAACCTATTCCTGTCTCTTCAGTTCCTGCGTGTGTCCTTGATCTAGTCATATCAGAATGGGAAACTGTTTACTATGAGTCGTTCAGATGCCTCCAGGTATGAACTGTGAGAAGTCAGGGACCAGTAGTTGTATCTGAAATACTGGATGTGGTTCCTTCAGAAGCGTTGCCCTTCCAGAAGCAGAGGGAGACGTAGCCTCAGAGGAAAGGATTAGTCTGTGGCTGGGGAGGGAAGAGGCAAGGATAATATTCCAGGTTGTCTGAAGGGCAGCTGTGGTCCCACCTTGTAGGAATGGCTGTAAATGCATTTAGCAGGTGTGATATGTGCAGCCGTGTGGGGTGGTGGCTGTGCTGGGAACATGCTGTGGGGATGCAATCAAGAAAAGGAGGAAAATATGAGTGGTATAAAATGTTTAAGCAGCAGCAGAGGTCTCGTGCATCTTTAAAGCAAACGTCAATTTCCACAGCAGGTTACTTGGTTACCTAAGCAAAGCTTATCAGCTGCTGTCCTCTAATTTCCTCAACAGTCATAACTGCTGAGGAACTTATTGAGCCAAACTCAATAGCTACTCACTACTGATGAAAATCAGAGATTTCAGTTTGTCTCACCCAACAAAGTACAAGTCCTGGAAACTGCCCCAGGACACCACCCCATTGACATGGTGTCTGTCATTCCATTAAAGCTGGAGGAGGAGCATATACAGACCCTGCGAAGGAAAGACTTGGAAGTGCAGAGCTTGGCTTTGCAAAACAAACTGGAAGAGAAGACCTGGAGCCAGGAGAAAAGTCTGCTACAGCAAGAACTCAGGCATTTCAGGCAGGACACCTTTCTGCTGTATGTCAAACTGAAGTGGCTGCTGAAACATTGGCGGCAAGGCAAGCGAATGGAGGAGGAAGGGGACGACGTATTAGAGGTAACTGACCCACCTTATTAACCCAATGAAGTTGCAAGCACTGGGGTACTGGGATGTCCCTTCTTTAAGTGTAGACTTTACATACAATGTGGCATCAGCAACCTTATAATTACACGGAGTTTTAAAGGGGATTCAAATTAAACATGAAGCCTTTTCTGAAGTTGGCTTTTGGTAAAGTATATTCTGCATGATGTGTTACAGATCACTCATCTTTAAATCTAAAACCTTAACTAGTACAAACATCTGGTCCTGAAAAACTCTCTCATAGTAAATGAAAATTGAATTAGGTCTCAAAGATATGACTCCTGAACAATTTTTGGAAAGAAAAAAAAAATTAGCAAGCTGATGGAGTCAAATCTGTTTAGATGGGTTGAGTGCTGTCATTTTTCTCATTGTGTGCACAGTGTGTTCCTTACAAAGCCTTCAGAAATATAGATGGAGGGAAGCTCTGTTTTCATGTTGGCAGGAGAATTATACAGCTTCTTGTGGGAACTTACAGTGAATCATTCTTGTTTGTTCCTCTTCTCCATACACACGTCTATCACCGTCAGCAGCAGTACGCCAGTAGTCATCATGGTGATTTTCCAAGTAGCGACTAAATTAAGATCAGGAATTTCAGAAGTACATAACAACCTGGAATCCCCAAGCTGACACATCTCAGCAGGGGTGTGATTGCCAGCCAACATGCACTGTGAAGAAAGGTGCTGCTAAACCATGCCGACTTGCACAACCAGAATTACCATTTGCTTTGGAAATCTTACCTAAAGGAAAAATAAGTTAAAAAAAGTGTTTGCCCGTTCTGACATTTTATACAAAATTCTTGAGAATAATAGATTGATTTTGCAGGTTCATGCAATTCTGAAACCATTTGCTAAGGCAACTAAGTAATTTTTCTCAGTATTTCTGATACTTACGTGCCTAGTGTTTTTCAGTGTTCACTGCATCTGGCAGTACAAGTAACCTTTCAGGTCTGGTAAGAGTATGCTTAAGTGGAATACTCCAGTGTTCTGTATTCTTAGATAAAGGGTGGATGAACATCTTTACCTTCATCTGCTGTGGTGATATGAGTCAGAAACAAGAGATTAGTAGCTATTTAGAAATAATTTGCTTCTACTTTACTTCAGCAGTAATAATTTGCTTCTATGTAAACTAGCTCATCTTCTAATATCAAAATAGCTTTCATTTTTTCACTGTTTGGATTTTTTGACTGGTTAATTTATAATCAATCCACCTCCAGTCATTATTGGAATCATGTGTTTTGCTAATGCATTAGAGAGAATAAAGTGCTAGATTTGGATACTTCATGGCCTCCATATCTTCATCAGACAAAACACCAGTGTCTTGTATAGTTTTTCATTAACGTGTGATGGATTATATCCATCATGCTACATTACACCCATCTTCTCAGCTGCATAGATCTCCTGTTTTGCAGGCCTGCATAGTGTTGTGTTCACATATGCAACATGTCATGTATCACCCAAAGATCATCTCCTGTAGCCTACAGAATAGAATAGCCACCACAGAGATGCAGGGGAAGATAGTCCCTTCCCTTAGCCCTTCAACAGATTTCTGTCCCCCCGAGGTAAATGACAAAAGAGTGTTGATGTATCCCATCCCATGCTCTTGCATTTTAGATCGAGCACACTGAGGCCCTCCCAGACTTTGGCATTCAGTGTGAGCAGAAGGCGGACGATGCAGAGCGAGAGGAGGAGGAAGAGGATGTTGTGTTTGCACTGACAGATTTCTCCCAGCGTCCCACCACGGAGAGCAGTGATCATGGACCACAGCTGCAGACTGCAGAATTACTGCAGCAGCAGAAGCAGGTACTATACCATTTGTATATCATGCTCTGGGAATGGAAACTGTGGATTTTCCAAGGGAGTTCATTTTCTTCTGCTGCTGTGTTAAATCACCTAGAATCATACTTGTAAAAATACTTCTAGCTACACAGCAATTACAGTGGATTTCATCCATTATATTTATATTTAATCAGGAGCCACGTGATTACTGTTCTCTTGTTGGCAAATGCTATCAGTGAAAAATCCTATTTCCTCTTGTGGCTGTTTGCCCAGAAACATCTATCAGTATGTGATGGTTTGCAGAATTTATATGCTCCTCTTGCCTGAGCACATCTATTGTATTCTACTGTCAAGCTTTTAGCAAGAAGAGGTGATTTTATTTCCTTTAAATAATTTAAGAAACTAGCACATGTATTTAATGTTTCCCTTAGAGATGATGGGAAAACAATGCAAAAGTTCCTTCCTGTCACTGGGCTTGTTTCTAAATGCCTAAAAGCAAATCATGCTGACTTTTTTCTGACATCTCCTGCGCCCTGTCTGTGTGTGTCAGAGCACTGCCATATACCCTAACTTTTTGCTTTGTGCATTTAATATACCAGCAGTCCTAACAATAATAACAGCAAACATTCAAAGGGGACAGACTTAAGGCTTCCAACAGTTCTTCAGAAGCATCTTCTTGTATTTTTAAAATGGGAAACTTTCAGATGAGAGCATCCTGTTACAGGGAATTACTTGCAGTCATAAGTAGAATGGAGCAAGAATTCTGTGTAAAATACAAATTCAGTGAAAAAGCTCTTGAAGCTTTATGCCTTATGCCCCATCTCTATCTGGGCCCTTGACTTGGGAGCCCACTCCACAGCGAGAGCTCTCAGACAAATATGCACTCTCTCTGGCTGCATTACTTTGCTGGGCTTGCTACAGGACTGTGTGTGTCTTTGCATTTCAGTTCTTCGCCTTGAACTCCCCAGACTCTTACGACTATGTACGACCTGTTTGCTTATTATCTATATGGTCTAATAGATACGCAGCAGGCAACAGTAAGTTTCTATCCTATAATAAGGTTAGGCTGGTGCTGGGAGATGCACAGGCTGTCTTGCAACCTACCTCTCTAGTTCAAAATGTAACTTCAGTTAGCATTTCTGTTTGAATAAAAATAGTAGAGATCTGTGGTCTTTATTCTACTTCATGTTCTGCTTTAAGTTTATACACTCTTTTGGTTTCCTTTTTCATAGAGCTAGCTGACAACTCCATTCTCTAGCTATTATCTTCTGTGAAGTGTGCTACCAAAGTAGTATTCATTTGATCAGTTTGGCATTTGGAAAGGTTCTACCTTGCCAGTCACCCAGATCCATCACTGTCATCCTCTCAGCAAGCTCTTCTCTGGTAGAGGCTGAAGAAGGCCATGGAAGAGATGCTCCTGAGCACGTCATTTAACTGCATTTCATCTGTAGACTGATTTAATCTAGAATGAGTAAAATAAATATAAACCAACATACTATCTCAGTACAAACTCCGTCATGTACTAACTTTCCATACAGACCTCTTAAAATGACAAGGAACATTGAAATAAATTATGTCCTCTTTGAAATAATCATCACATAGGCATTAATCTCAATTAAGGTGGCAGAAATGGGAAGTAGGATTGCTTATAATTCATTTTTATATACATTGCATGTTCTAATGAAGCCATTCCAGCTAATCTTGCTTAAAGAAATGATCCATAGGAACAGATCACATCTCAGTACCCCTCTTGATAGTGAATAGTGCATGATATCCAAATGGACTTGTGAAGGTGAAATAGGTTTCTTGCCTTCCAAACAGGAAAAAAGTGTTATTTCAACACTGCAAGAGTGAGTGAGTTTGCTAAATATTTCTCATTTTAAGCACTATTACTTGTTTTGTCCACTCACGCTAGTGAATCTTCTAACAAGCACTGTGTTTATTGACAGGCATGTGAAAGGGCTTCCAGTGCTCTGGGGCTTGTATTTGTCAATGGCAAGAAAGGATTACGATTATTCTCTGGCACAGAAATAGGAAGCCCTAGTGTAGGTTAATTCTGATGCTGTCATAGATTCAGGGCATCAGAAGTGTCTTCTGGAGGACCGTGACAGAGGAGTAGCTGCCTGCACACCTCCTGTGCCCTCGAGGCTCTGCCAGAGCCTTGCTCTGCCCTCACACACCTTAGTATCAGTTGGGCCTGAATTGTCCATCTCACTGTGGCGGATGGCTTGGCCCTGCAAACCTCCTGCATGCAGGACCTTCGCTGTGCTCACCAACCTCACAGACCCTGGTCCTTGCTCTACACACATTACAGACTCACCCATAAATATCAGCTCCACTTAATTCATATATGATCCCAAAACACATTAACTAAACAAAAATAGAGCAAGAAAACACTTTGTGTGTGTTGTCCCAGCTTTAAAAGCTCTGAGAGCATCAGCAGACCCAGAGCACATCCTTCCTGAAGGGGTGGATCTCAGCAGTGCTCCCCCACCAGTATACCACTGACTAGTCAGGCTGCGCTGAAAAACACCCAGGGTTTTGGGGGTCTTCTGCAGGTTTCTTAAACCCACAGCTGGAAAAAAGCACTGTTTACATGGGGAATTTGGGGTGAGTGGTGAGGCTGGAAGTCTCCAAGGTTTGCACCTACCCGGGAGACCCCTAAGTTGCTGGTTCTGCCTGGCAAGCTCCGAGATTAAATGCATCAGCATTTGTTTCACATTAGGAAGGAAATTTTGCGATAGTCTAGGAGTGGCTAAGATAACTAGGTCAGAAAAAAGAAAGAGCTTACAGTAACTTGAAGTAACCCATATTTATTTTTAACATTTAATGTTAATATTTAATAGCTTGTATTTTCAGCCTGCACTCTTGCTGTTGGCTTTCTCACCCTGCCTGGAAAGTGGAATTGTTTTGAGAAAAATGATAAACCCTGAGGCCTTAATTTCAACAAGCAGCCTCTAAATTTATATTATGATTTGAGGTACTCAACTCGGTGTAAAGTATGTGTCTCACTTGTCTGGGATGTTTATGTGGCCAGTGTGTGGAGGGATGAAGGCATAGCAGAGGGGAAAGGGGAGAAAAAAGGTTAGCTGATGAGAGGCAGAGTAGATGGGGACTCTGAGAAGGGCAAATTCATCTTTCTCTTAATGGCATTGTCCCTTGGCTGGTAGCTGGGGCACACTGCGGAAAGGGTCGGGCGAGGAACTGGCAAGGCTCAAGAGCCAAGCGGAAGGTCTGGTCACGGGCAGGAGATAAGCAGGGAAGTCGGGCTGGTGGCACAGTAGAGGAGGGCTTGCTGTAAGTCAGCGTTTCTATGTGTGTAGTGAGAGATCAGGGAGGATAGCCTGTGGAAAAAGGAAGAGCTTTGGTTCAGTTGACTAGAAAGGGTGAGATGCCTGTTGGACTCTGGAAGATCAGGGGAGTAAGAAGAAAAGAGTTTACACATCTGTGTTCCAATCGAAAAAGCACTTAAATACAATACACTTGTGTTGTTGCTGGCGGGGGTGTCAAAAAAATAGCCAGTTAGATCTTTTTTTGCTTATACAGTATTTGTTTACAAAGCTTAGCTAAAAGAAAAGCCCAAAGGAATAGTAATTAAGACCTAGATATACTAAAATGTTTTGCACCAAGATCTGGCTTCACTTTTGCCTAGATCTGTCATTAGACAGAGAAAACTCACAGTTCTCGTTCACTGTTTAGGCTGCTGACCCTGTGTTTTTAATTGACTGCTCTACTAAACTGCTTGTAACACCAGACTGTGGCTAAATTCTTAAGTGAAATTCTCAGAGAAAAAAGAATTGTAATTAAAAGCAGAACCAAGCTTCAAACAACTGCTCTGGTCCCAAACTTTTCTAGAGCTGGAGGCTCCCATCTCTGGAATTGACTCAACTTAGTGAAGACTCCAAAGTCCTGGAATTTAATTGAGGTTTACTACGTTAAGTTTTTACTTATTGTCAGCTGTTGTTTCCTTCAGCTATAAATCCTGAGCTGTGGAGACAACAAGACTTTAAACTGCTTTTGTAATTCTCTTGTCTTAGATCAGTTGTGAATCAGTCAGATTCCTCCATGCTCTAAATTTCAGTAACTGGTAAGGTACTAAAGAGCCAGCTGCTTGCATGAGAGGCTGTCCAGGGAATCACAGCCATGCCCCGTTTCTTCTGCCCGTACAACATCCCCGGGAGGACAGGGAAGACCATAACAATCCTTGTTATTTATCTATGGAACTTATTCTTATGCAGAAGCTGTTTGGCAGTTTTACCAACAGAAATCTAAAGCATGTCTAGATGTAAATGTTGTATTTCAGAGCACATTGTCTCAAAAGGACTTCGTCTGTTCTCCAAAAACACTCCAGTTTGGCAAAACAGAAAAAATAATCTCACAGACCTCTCCAACTTCAGACTGTAAATATGAAAGTCATGCAAAAGAGACTTCTCTGCAGGAATTAGGAGAAGATAACCAAAATTGGATTTATATTGGCAAATTAATTAAAATCCCAGCAAGCCCAGGGGGCACCTGGGGTACTTGTCTCGTAGCAGCGACATTGATGTAATGCCTCTAGAAATAAGACATGCCCTCATCCCAGTAGGCTACAAACCTGCAGTGAGGCTCTTTTGGCTCCTCTCTGTACTAGTCCATCACTTCATTCTTTGCAAACCTAATTTTACAGGACTCTAAAGCTATCAAATATATGCACAGGAATGAGGGATGTAGCTTGCTTTAGTGTTATTTGGTTTTATTTTTCTTCTGCCTCATTTCCCTCGTGGATCCTTTAGGCTACTCAGTCAGAGAAAGGTTTATGCAGCATACTAGAAAACACAGAACGTGGCTCTTGAATGAAAGCACTTCACAGACGTTTGGGGTCAGGGTTTTCAAAGAGGATGAGGCCAGGTTTTGATGCATTCAATACTCAGCAGCTCCTGTTGTGACACTAAGGACAAATCTTCAAAAGAGCTCTTATTCTGATTACTACACAAGGGGCTTGAGATGTTTGGAGAATTTAGCCTTAATTGGGTATCAGAACGAAAATTCATGGTGGAAACATAAAATCGCATTACATATTGAAAAGCAGGTGATCTTATATGCATGATGGAGACTGCTGCTGTATAGTAGGAAACTGCTAATTGGCATTAAATGTTAATGGAATTCATTCTGCTTCTGTGGGTGCATTTCTTATAAAACCCCATGTTGTACGCCATCACATTTCATTAGCCCAAACAGATTACAGGTCAGTCAATGAGCACCTGCAGTCATTTCCCTGCATCTAGCATATTTTTGCTGATGAACCAAATGGCTTGGAAAAAGTAGACCGCATTTGTTTGTTTTTTAAAGAAAAAAGGCACTGTGGTATGTCTGATTAGTGATTACAAAAGTGGGTGAGGTGGGTTCAGTGATGCCAAAAATCTGATGAGCGTATGAAATCAGCTTAGTTGTCTGCATAAAATTTTGTATGTATTGTCACTGAAAAAAGCACATGAAAATAATTTAGATTTTTGCATACATCTGTTTACTTGACTTGTCTACAAAGAAATCCCCATGTAGGTACTTCATGAAACACCAGGTAAGAGGAATTGCAGGAAGCCTCCACTTGGGAAAATAAATCAAAAATAAAATTAATTAGACTATCATGCAAGAATTGAGACAGCTAATTTGAGTTAGGCCTTCGCAAGGAAGCTAACGGATTGATGAGAACCAGGTGATTAAATGCTGAATTTGTTGAGTAAGCTTTCCCATTTTTCTGCTCATGCTGTGTCTGCTAATCAAGTATAATTTTCTTAAAAGTCTTTTCTAGTCAAAATAACTTGTCAGATACAATCTCTGGTTACTCCTTGGTCTTTGAGAGGCTCATTGGAAATATTTTATTTACATTTTGGATAAATAAATCATGTTACACATTTCTGTTTCCTAATTCAATGACCAAAAAATGGTGGGATACCTTTTGTTTTACTGATCCAGAATGAATCTTTAAAAAACATTCTTCAATATTTAACATAAAAATGACAGGTTTTGCAAGTCTCCAGAGAATTTGCAGAAAGTAAATGCCAAAACGAACAAAAAAAAAATTTTAGAGATTTGAATAAGTATACAAGCTATCTTTCAGTACTTGCCAAGATCAGATGTCAGCTCTGGGCTAGACTTTTAATTTGACTCCTTTCATGGCTCCTGGCTAGCACAACAGCACAGACAACATTTTCAGTATGGCCGTGACATTCTCAACAAGACGTGGGTGGGGGTTTGCTCTTCGATCCCATCTGTAAGAGGGAAAGTGGCCTACCTGGCATTCATGCCTTTGGTACTGAGCGGGGTGCTGCTGCAAAGCTAACCTGTGTGCAACTGCCTGGGACTGAGGAGAAATGTGAAGTACAGACTAGTGAAACACCTTAGCAGAGATACTCAGCTCAAAACCTCACATTTTTTTCTGAAGTAATTTTATCTGATAATACAAAAGCATTAAAAATTAATCCCTTTTCTTTATATGTAGTTTACAAATATTTGAGGTTTGATGCTGAGCAATGACTACACATAAGACGTCTAGCTACCCAACAAACCTCAGGAATGATACTCTAGCTTTGGTTTACAGTATTAAAAAAGAAGGTTTTTTTATATGCATCCTTCAATCCAGAAGGATGCATAGTGCCTTTTTCAGATACTTAAGTATCTTTGGCTTTCATGGGTGCTTCAGGACTAGGGCTAACGAGAAGTAAGATCATAGAATCATAGAACCATTTAGGTTGGAAAAGACGCTTAAGATCATCGAGTCCAGCCGTAAACCTAACACTGCCAAGTCCACCACTAAACCATGTCCCTAAGCGCCTCATCTACATGTCTTTTAAATACCTCCAGGGATGGTGACTCAACCACTTCTCTGGGCAGCCTGTAGACAGAGAAGGCATTGCCATTCTTAGTTTTCTCATGCAAAAGTTATCCCAGGCACTTTCTCTTCCACGCAGTAGACGTGCAGGTATTTTTCCCCCTAAAAATGAAGCTGGAGGCTAAAGCTATCCAATGACAGCATTTCTTTTGCTTTGTTGCGGCAGGCAAGTGAAAATCGGAAGCTCCTGAACGCTCTGAAGGGTTTGCTGGATGACTTCCGCTCGGAGCTGCGGGACGAGGAGCGTGAGCGCCAGGGGCTCCAGCAGCAGTATGCCCTGCACAAGGCAGCCTGGGATGTGGAAATGACTGAACTGAAGTGCCACCTCGAACAGGTAACATCCCCCATGTCCAACACCAGTAAAGAATGGTTGAGGTGCTTAATGAAACGGGAAATCTATGGCAGCCAGGAAAGGTACTACATTTATTCATTTTACCCTGATGCCTGAAAGCCCCCCTGAAGCCTGAGCAAAGCTTTGCCTCTTGAGCTGCCTCTTGGATTCCAGTTGTCCCAGTACGAGTGCTCATGTAGTAGGTACTGTGTAGGTGAGGACAAAGGAAGTGAACCTCTTCTTGCTGCATTTTCTCAGAAGAGTTGGCTGGTAATGTATCAGCTGCGGTAATGAGGCATGCGGGTGTCTGTATTTATTGGCATTTATAGGAGAGAAAATGTCTTGATGTTGGCGTGCTCACAGTTAGCTCGTCACTGTGCCTTGGCAGATAACAACTGCGGTATTTGATGCATAGGAGAGAAAAGAGTGATTTAATAATACTGAAGTGTTACATCAATACGTTAATATTAAACCAGCTATTCAAAGCTACTGGTTAGTGATGGATGGTACCCCACTGAAGAGAGAGCTCTAGCTACCCGCCATGGGATACTGTTAGAAGTATGTATATAAAATCTGGTGCCAGGTGCTTCAGTGTTAGGTACGGCTGTTCACAGAAGATGTACTGTTTCTGAAGCAATATGAAAACAAATCAGCAAAAAACCCACAGGGATTCATTTCCAAAGCTGATGGCATAAAAGCTGTAATTTTCTGCATTGAAGAGGGGAGGGGTGGGAGAATTAGTACATTCAGGTCCTGAGAAAAAGATTTGCAATTGTACAGCTTCTCTGCAGAAGAAAAATATAATTAAAATATTCACTGCCAGGAGGGTGGTACATTTAGGAGGATTTACTGAGCATCGGAGACTCACTGTGATGCACAGAGCTGAGATGCGAGCACTGCTTTTCCTGCCCAGGTACTGTAAGCTGCTTTCCCAGAATGAAGGAAGAAGCTTTCATTTTAGCAGAGTTTTCTCTCAGCGGATTCAAATTCTCAATTCAGCTGCTTCTTAGTCCACACACATTTCCAAACAGATCACTTGAAAAAGGAAACAAAATGAATCCCCATTTTCACTCCTGCCAAAGTAAAACCTCGATGACAGATTTACCTTAAACTCGAGATGGTAACAAAGAACAAAACTTAGAGAAAGTTAGTCTGACAATGAACTGCCAATTTAGAGCTTGCATGCTTTGCCTTTGCATGGGCGATAAACTCCCAGGCTGCGGCTTTGGCTGGTGTTTGGCACCAGGACAGCACTGCCATTCCTGCCCAGGGAGAAGATAGATTTGCATCCTTCCTTCTGGTGGCTTTATCAGGTTCTTTGCTACCTCCACTGCTCCACTGGTAATAACATATAACATAGGGTGATTATCAAGCTGTGGGTGTTACCTTTTTCCAGCAAATGAAAAGAATGAAACTGGTCAATATTTAAGACATCAAACTGTCCTCCTTAGCCAATTCCCCAAACTGCATTTCTATTTCACAGTAAAAACAAGTCCCTAGTGCAGTAGCAAAAAGATAGCACAGAAATCGTTAGAATATCAGTTAGGATAGGGCAAACAATGTGAGTGTCCCACTGAAGTCTGGTGTACATGCTCACCATTACAAGGAGGCAATTAAAAAATTAAATATAAAAATAATAATATAATAAGCCTGAAATAGAAATAATATAAACATAAATTTAACTCAAGCTAATGTTAAGGATTCAAAAGATGGGGTGTTTTTGTAATAGGTTCAATTTCAGGATAGAAATGGGAGGAGCTAGTGAACAACATGTAAAATATCAGCATTACATATAGTCATGCTAACGTCTTTTGCTATTCTGTACCAACACGTAGCATAACAACAGCTTTAACTAAATAGCCAAGTCCGTCATGTCAACGTGGGTAGAAGACCCTCTCATGATGTAATTTTGTTGTTTTGATTGGTAGTGATGAAGCAGCGGGCTGTACAGCGCTCCCACCCTAGCAGGGATATAGAGCTGCCAAACCCTTGACAAGCCCATAGAGAATCAAGGCCTTTCTAGTCTCCACTGTTGTCTTCACTGCTGCTGTTTTCCACCTCTTTTGTGACACAGTAGGTCAATTAACAAGAGCATTTTCCTCAAGAGAGTCAACTCCTAATTAATAGTCACTGGCAATAGTTTTGCACTTTGATGCTTCAACTCTCTATATACGAAAGAAAAAAAGGAAAGAAAACTCTTTTGATACAAAATCGCTGCATATCAGAGGTGACGATGTACTGTTGCCTGCTGCTTTGGAGCTTTAGCACTGCATATATCATTAAAAATAAAAGTCTTGGCTGTCAGAAATGCATGTACATCTTATTTGGCAGAAGGATCCTTAGGCATTGTTTTTAAGATAAGAAATAACGAGATTGCTCCCAAGTATGGGATTGCAATAACTCTGAGCCAATAAGGAGTCCCAGTAATTCTCAACCTCCAGCTGAGCAAGTGAAAAATCCCAGTATTCTGGGAACTGGGAACTGAGAAAGGTTTGGAAGAAGGAGGGAGTTAGTATGTGGGGCCAAACCCTGTGTATGCATTGAGAACTTGCACGTAAGGACAGGGACCCTCAGTAGGACTCCCACCAAGGTCCAGCTTCAAGACGCCCTGAGGGAATATAAGCTGTGGTGCACATGGAGAGGCATCTGGCCACCCTTAGCAGTAAACAGGTTTAGGAAAGTCACATGTAGACTTTCATTATAAGGAGCCACCAATGGACCTTTCCACCATGATTTGAGCTGCTTCATCAAAACAGAGGAGCATTGTTCTTCCTTCCACAGGCACCAAGAACTGTCTTCTGAGTCTAAAGACACCACCTCTGACTGGAGAAGGTTTTAGATCCCAAATCACTGAACACCAGGAAATTATTCTGAAGATGTATCACTGTATACTTGCCTTGGTTTTGAACTCATCTTTGTACTTGTAGGCTTCCTGTATTTTTCTCAAATGGGGCAAGAGCCAGGGCTCTGGTCTGGGTGAGCCCATGGTCTGGCACAGGATGACTTACTGTATTTTGGCAGCTTGGGCGAGGCACTCTAACGGCAGCCATGCATTCTTGGGCTATCGCTCTTCTGGAGCACATTCTTTCTCCTTGCTGCCTCTCTCAGCTTTCCTGTCCTTTACAGGCAGCATGGCCTAGGCACCATTGCTTTTCTTGTTTGCTAACAAGGGGAGAGAGACCATGAGTCTTGTTGAGGTTCAACATTTTGCTATTTTTTTGATATTCAAAAAAATGGAAGAAGGAATTTATAGGATAATCAGACGAACTGTATTTATTGCATCTGAGTATTTGTTTGCTTTATAGGTTGCTTTTAGCATTTTCATGCTTCATGACAGCTAAAGAATTTATCGCAGACATTGGCATGTCTTTGCAACTTAGCATGCTAGCCATAGCTACTGCTGCATATGGCATTATTCCCCAGGAGGCAGCAGAGTTGTAAGGTTGAGTATGCACTCCAGCGTGGTTGGATTTACCCCAGACACTCCAGCAACCTCTCCTGAGAGCTCCTGTTGCAAGATGAGAAGTCTACGAGGGCATCAAAGGTCCTTGAAAGATGACTTACATATATGACAAAGAACAAGTCCTAGATAGCCCTCTTGTCAGGCTTACATATAAGGAAACTGTATAGAGTTTACTTCATTAGTCCCTTACTATTTTGGCTGATCTCGGCTCTGCAGTGACACTCCTGAAATACATGATTATTCAGTGTCACAGCTATGTAGTAAATCCAGCAGGAACTTGCAAGGGTGAGCCAGGGGGTGCAGGCCACAGAACAGTAAAATCATAGAATCATAGAATATCAGGTTGGAAGGGACCTCAAGGATCATCCGGCCCAATCTTTCTTGGCAAAAGTACGGTCTAGACAAGACGGCCCAGCACCCTGTCCAGCTGAATCTTAAAAGTGTCCAATGTTGGGGAATCCACCACAGATTATTCCAATGGCTGATTGTTCTCATTGTGAAAGATTTTCCTCTTTTGTCCAATCGAAATCTCCCCAGGAATAACTTGTACCCATTACCCCTTGTTTTTCCATATGACTCCTTGTAAAAAGGGAGCCTCCATCTTCTTTGTAGCCACCCTTTAAATACTGGAACAAAATTAAAGCAACCAAACCTAAAAGAATGGGTGCCAACATGGCTGACAATGGCTGCAGCAGCAACTTTGACTCCCGCAGCACCATGAAATGGAGCTGGGGACTTGTGGATGGACAGAGGAAAGATGTAGCAAGGAGCGAAAGGCCATTACCTGAAGTTAGTGGTGAGTTTGGAAACTGGCAGCGATATTTTTACATATTGCTGAACTAACGTGGGCAATCAGTGGGTAGGAAAGCAACAAAGCGTTCTGGCTTCTCGAGGAGTTGTGCTGCCCATCATGGTGTCTCCCATTGTGGATCTGCAGCACAGAGGTGTCTCTCTCTGTCTCTCCTGGGATGTTCTGCGTTTCTGCCCCATGGCACTTCCCGTCCACCACCAAGCCGTGCAGTTGTGTGCAGGACAGCCTCTCACACATCACTGCTGGTCCCACAAATTTACACTGCACAAACAGAATAAGTGTGAGAAAGATAATGTCATGTCAACTTTGTTAAAACAGGATGATGCTTTTTTATAATTGACTTTTTTGGTTGATTGGTCACTTGGTTGGTTGGTTGTTTGAAAACAACTGGACTTTGGAAATTAGTGGTAAACGACGCAGGTGTTTTAAGATCTCCCTGTTAATGCAAGTGGCTGTAACAGGATGTTCTCTGCAGCTCAGTACAATTTTAAATGAGCCAAGCAATGACACCTCTGCCATTTATTTGGGGAGGCTGTTCCAGAGACAGTAAGCCTCACTCCTGAATCCAGTCTGAACTTCCCTTTGCTCAGAAAGTTTGGGATTATTTTCCACATAGGGCAATGTGAAGGTGTTGTCCTTCTCTCTTGCTAAAGGAGCATGTTTCCCAGCAGACCTGCTGCCTCTCCATTTTGAGGACAACTTTAACTTCAGAGGCGGAAATGAGTTTTCACTGCTTTTCACTCCAGTTCACCTGCAGAGCCAGGGGACGGAGATGTATCCCATTCTGAGTCACTCGCACATCTACTGAGTTGTCAACAAAAGATCAGACTTCAGAGATAAATTCTTCACTCACTTGAACTTACACAAAACCATTGAGCACTTTTTTCACTCTGACAACAGTCCAGCAGTGGCCCAGGTTGGCCAGAGAGGTTGTGCAATCTCTGTCCTTGGAGGTTTGTCAGGATCCAACTGAACAAAGCCCTGCGCAACCTGGTCTGATCTCAGAGCCAACCCTGCTGGAAGCAGGGAGTTGGACTAGAGACCTCCTGACAACCCATCAAGCCTGCATTTTCCTATAAATCTATTACCTTGGGCTAGCTCTTCTGATCTGATCAAGCTGATCCCTGAGCATGAAGTGAAGGAGAAGGAAGGGAAGGTAGCATCAGCTAACTGCCCTAGAAATCAATTCAGACCGCAGAACCTACAGAGACGGGAGGATGCTCTCGGTACCTCTTGTGCTGCTAACACCCTCTTATTTTGGAAGGTGTGAGGAGCTGTACAATAAGACTATTGCTGAGGGTTGTTCTGGGAAAAGTCTCTTCAGAAGATGAATGCACTGTCTTTAGGTTTCAGGGGCACAAAGGCAGAGCAGTGGCTGAGGACATTGTCCTGGCGATTGTCTCAGAGATGATGATGATGAGGGTGGAGTTCATCTCCATGTTTTCTTCATTGCTGGTACCCACACTCCCAGCAGAAAGATCAGAACTGATGCCTTAATAACATGAGCTGGTAGAGCTTGAGAAATGATTCCCTATGGTTTTCACTGTCTTGATTTTAAAACGTTTTTCAAGTTGAACATCTTTGATCATTTATTGAGATCCTAAGAGCTAAGAATTGCCATAATTTTGCCATTACCTTTGTGGAGTTAGGTCTTTAAGTCAAATTCCTTGTCAGACACAGGCTTTTACCACAGAAAGTTTGATGTCCTAGTAATGTTTTATTTTAATACCAGCTGGAAGGGAAGAGTGAGAACACCTCAGGAGAAACAGGCCTCACTTCTGATGCAAAGGGAGCTTTTACAAGGGACAGAGAGGAGCACAAGTGGCTGAGAGTCATGGTGTGGTGATGGACCTCCGCTGGCAAATCCAGCACAGTGAGAAGAATTGGAACCGGGAAAAGGTGGAGCTCCTGGACAGGCTTGATAGAGACCGGCAAGAATGGGAGCGTCAAAAGAAGGAGCTGCTCAGGCGGATAGAGCAGGTAAGGAGTCATCCTGGGGTGAGCAATGGCTGGCTGCAAGCATGAGGCGTTGCACCATTACTACACTCAGGCCAAGGTCAAGAGACTGCGTTAAGAAGCAGCACAGGAACAATTTTGGTTCCTTGGCTACATCAGTGTTTCTCATGCAACAAAACAATTTACACACACAAGGGAGTAAAAGGAAAATGCTCATAATCTCTATAAAAGACCACTTATGAGAAATCAGCTCCAGGTTGAAGGCCATTTTTCCTGCCTCATTTCAGTTACCCCGGACAGGCATGGTCACATCAATTGATTCTGTTTGAAAGCTTTTGTTCATCTCTTCGTGCTAAAACACTCAACCCCACATATAAGGTTATTCAAGGTTTGACATACAGCTTCCTGCCAGAAAAGTTTGTTCATCTGTGAATTAGCCACCAAAGATGCAGATGCTGCGACTATTCAGTCTCAACTGAATTCTTTTTCTCTAGCAAAGGAACCCGGAGGTTAGCGTGAGGAGCCCTGACTGATAACAAATAGATAGCTATCAATACTAAATATTCAGAAGACACTTCTGACCTTGGTCACATTAATTTTGTACACACCTCTGCTATCATTTGCAAATCTGATAATTGCATACCTGTCCCCTTGTTTTTCATGCCCATATGCACTTTTATCTACTTAGTATTAGAGACAAATTATACCTAATGGATTTATTATCTGGCTGGAAGCCACAGGAAAAATAAAAAGTTTAATGAAGGAGAGTTAATATACCATTTTTGACTGAACATTGTTCAGCTCTGAGTCATGCATTCCAGGAAAAGTAAGAAAAACAACTGAAATTGTGGGTCCTCAATTAACTGAATACATTCTGTCCTTAGGACATCAGAAATGGAACTGCACCAGATTTGTGCATGCTCTTTAGGGAGCACTACGCTTAAATGAAGTACAAAGTAGCTTCACAGGTTAAGCTGACAAAAGCCCGGTGTAACTTCATGACCGGTTTTTGAAAAGGGTTCCTTATCTGTGTCTCATGTACCCATGCCGGGGCTGCAACAAGGAGCTAAAGAAAAGACACCAGGCTGTAAATATTATGAGTGCAACATTAACCCTCAGTTTAAGCTATGGCTGTTAAACCCACAGAGAAGCACTTAGAAAAATGCTGTACTCTACAGATATTTCTAAAATCAATACTGAAAGTGTAGGTCTGAGTGGGCAGTGACCAATAGGAAGGTTTTACAGACCAAGAAAAGTGATTTTTGAGCTTCTTAATTTAAAAATATCAATAAACTATATTCTGGATTTTTTAATCTCCCATTTATCTGAGGGGTTTTGCGTATACTTCATGCAGCTCGTCAAGCTAGCCCTTACGGTGCCTTATAATGCAGACCACTAGTACATCTCCTAAGATGAAACAACCAACGCATATGAACTAGGAAGGCTTGTAGCAAAGCTCTCCATCCAACTGACCTGATTTCCAGGGTTCAGTGGTAGAAGATGCCGAGTTCTCCGTGGTTTCACTGAGCTGGTTTCTAACTGCTGAGTTTCAGTGACCAAACTGCCTCCTGTGGATCCTTCATGCAAAATGGGAATTAAATAACCCTCAGAAAATTTCCCAATATACTAAGGATGTGGACATAAACTTTTCTTTGGAGAGTCACTGGCACCTCTTTGGATGTTTATGTTGCTGTCCCTATGAACTGTATTTTTTAATATTATCTCTTCAGGGTATCCTCAATAGCTTGAGGGACTTAACCTGGTTAAAGACTGCTTTTTCTGTTCCCTGGGAATAAGGCACATTGAAGGAAGCAACAGAGAAATCCTTGTTAATGTTACCTAGCCTTTAATTCTATTTAAACTGGACATAACTTCTCAGTGTCATCTTGGGAGAGCCTACAAAATAGCTCTTAACTAGTCCTGGAGCTGATTTCTTTTGTTCCTGTTCTGAAACCTCTAGGCTTCAAAATATATTTACTGTACAACAGAGTTGTACACAGAATTAGCAATAGATAGGGGAAATAAAAAATATTATATCAAGCTAATTTCAGAGGACTAGATGATCAGAAATAGCATTTGAAATCTTGGCTACCTGCCTGCAAAACTTCATAACTCCATCTTTGCTTATAATCAAACATTTCCCTGTGTGACAGGAAGCTTCCAAATATTTGCAGGCTTTTAGCTGAATATCCTCCCAGATTGCAGTCATGCCCTGCTTTATATGGAAACAATTAGTATATCTCTGAAGTCCTTCTCCCCAGGGTTTTTCTGTGTGTATTCCATGTATGGCAATACATAGAGGATGAGGAGACTACACCAGCGTATGTGTTTGAAAAACAGAGTCTAAGAGATAGCAGAAGTGTGTGCGCCAAATTTCATACTAATGCTTTATGCCTGTCTGCTTTCACAGCTCCTGAATAATACATGTATGATAAAGGGGAAGCTCACACCAATGTATAAAATATATAAAATACTTTACTCTGGATGGTCATGGGAATACCACTTGCATATAAAAAACGTGATGGCATACTTTTTTTCAGAGCTCCAAGTTGTTTTTTTTCTTTTCAAGTACACTGTCACTTTGTTTTCACTTAGAGAATCCCCCTCTGCTGTGCTCCTAAAGCTAACTGTGCACAGAGCACACTAACAAATATTTAAACCCACAAAATCACATGTATGAAATGTTGTGTGTTTAAATGTATAAACACATGGGGACTCAAAATCTTTAGTCACTCTTGAAAAGTTAGGCCAGTATTTCTCACTTTAGTTCTCCTATCAGCTGTCTGAGGTTCAGAGAGTGAGCCAGTAAACTGTCCTGTTTTCTCATAAAGGTTCCCAAATCATTATCCTTATAGGATCTCTGAAAATCTGGAAGGGCTTGCAATTGGAACTGTGTATACAGAAAACATGCAATTACCATTTCTCTTTGCTTTAGGTCTTGCCTCATATACTGGGGAATGGACCCCAGGATCTCTTGAGATATACCTTCTGGCCCCTACCTAATTTATAGGATACCTTACATTAGCTCCTTCCAATAAAACTGTTTCAGATTTTGTATATCATGAGCAAAACACTGAAGATGCATTCACCTTTTTGTAGACCTGAATCAAGCAAAAACCTCACGGACTTCAGCCCAAGTGCAAATATAGTCATCTGAGACCTAAAATATTTTGATCTACATTAGGCCATACAATTTCTGTTTATTTTTCCAAACACATACAAGAAGATTAAAATAATATGTTTTGCAGGTCCTCAGTCTCCAGAGACCTAGGGAATGGCTTGCATTTGCAGGTTGTTGTCACTAACCTTAGCAGGCTGCTCTAGCAAAACATCAGAGTTGCTTATCAGACTCCTGCTGTCATTCATCAAGTTTGAAAACATCACTTACTTCATCATTCCTGTTGTATTTAAAATCAAAGGAAAAGTTGATCACATAATCTAATTTTAAGATTGGAAGTAGTTTCAATTTCACTAGTGGTTCACCCTCTCTTCACCCAGCTTTTGCAAAGTGTAGAGTTAATAGCTTTGATGGCCCTTCTATAAATATGCATTTTCTTCAAACATGCTTTGCATGCCTAATTCATCCCTTTGACCATGCTGTCTGTACAAATAGTCAACGTTCTAGCCATGCATTAGGGCTAGACAGTCTTTAAAACAAAGCTTTTGTCTTTTGTTAAACGGAATTTTCCACCTCTGGAAACAAGTGATGTACATAAAAATGCAACCTTTGTATTGCTGACTGGAGGAAAAATGTGTTAGTTTTGATGAGACTCCAAGTCACTCACCCTTCCTTAAGCTTCGACTTCTATTGCTTTAGGATCTCATATCAAGATTGCTTTTAATTAACAGTCAGTGTTGATTTGTTTCTTTAAAAAATCAGATTACAGGTAGATGCATTATTTTGTGTATATATACACACAGTGTGTATATATGTATACATATATATGTAAACAAGCAAAACTATACATATACATATTTAATAACTCAAAATCCCATGAGTAATAGCATCAAAGTCCTAGAGACATCTCCCTTTGTGGAAGGACCAGTGCAGCAAAGCCGGCGTGCCTGGAGCCAGGTGGTGATCTCAGCCTCCCCAAGTCATGGGTGCCTCGCTCCTGGGGAAGGATGAGTTCTGCAGAATGCCATATGCTACGTATGTAATTGCTGTTTGTTTTAATTTGCCTCGTTTCTAGCTTCAGAAAGAAGTGAGCCCACGAAGAGGAGGTGGTTTTCTGTGTGACCAGAAGGAGAGTAACCTTCATCCATTTACGACCCAGGGGAGCCTTCACGTGCCTCGTTCGATGGGGTCAAGATCCTACTCTGATTCAGATGCCATTCAGTTTGACGATCGGTCACTGTCTAAGTTGAAGGAGAGCGATCGGTGCAGTGCCACGGAAAACCTCTTTCTGGAGTCGCTGTCTCTTGATTCCCCCGACGAGTCTGATGAGCACCGGTCTCGGCAGCTGGAGCGGGAGAAATTCTTGACTGGATTAACGGAAGTATGCGCTCTCCTACCTTTCGTCAAGCCAGCATGTTGTCTCTTATGTCAGAATTGGTACAGCATCCCTGCTGTAGGAAGTGAGATATTGTGTCACGGGCACTGCTTACGGTTACCCAGTAGTGAATTTGGTATGGACGAGATTTTGTTCCTTGTTATGAGCTGACTATACCAGTGTCAATCACCTGAGAAACTGGGAGCCAGCCTAAAGGTCTCAAAGATTACCTCACCTTGTGGCCATGTATGATAACTATATTTGACACAACATATTGGTTTAGAAGGTCTTAAATCTTTTCCAGTTGTAAGTAGATACATATATATGAGGAAACATGAGTTATATTTTGTTAGTAAAGCAGTAAGTGCTGTAGAGAGGCAATTCTAGTTGTTCTGTTGTGGTTGCCTTCTAAATAGATCAGCATAAGTGAGATGAGATATTCAAAAAAATAAAGTTGTTATTCATCAGCAAAGTACCTACCCTCAGACTACACTGTAAAGCTATAAAGATGTAAAACACAGTGCTAAGAGGTGCCATTGGGGCATAGTGAATGTATGCTGTGTCTTGCTAAAATCTGCACCACCACAGGCTTACTTTCACCGGTTCCAGGTCTTCACAGTTCTGTTTATATTGTTGCTGAATGAAACCCAGGGTCGCCGTCCCCATATGCTGGTACGAAGTAGCCTGTGAACTGGCATATTATATTAGTGGCACTGAGAATGTTCACACTGACCACAACTATACGCTTTAATGGTTCCTGTGAAATTAAAAACACATTACAACGCCAAAACGCTAGTATCTCCTTTATTTTCTATTGTTCCTCGAACGTTAGCGGCTGTTACAGAACAAGGAGCATTTGGAGACTGCCAGAAGTTAAAATTATCCAGCAGGCAGCACACTGCTTGATGCAAGTTTTGAGTACTTTCTTCTTGCCTGAAAATTTAGATTTGTGCACATGGGTTAGACATTCAGCTTGTGCTCTGAGCACGTAAATACCAGTTGGGTGTACATACTATAGCAAATAGGGAAGCAGAAGCTTCCTAGTCAAAGATGTATCTGTGTACTCTGGCTTGAAAATTTGACCACTCTGGAAAAGTTTGTCAACAGGTCAGATCTCAAGCTCCCTGCAGGACCAGGTTCACTGGTGTGCCTTGGCTGGAACACGTCCGCCTGTGAAAATTTGACCCAAGCATTTCCTTGAGAAGTATAACGTTGTTACTTAGCTAAAGGATTGGGAAATCAAGTTCTTTTAGAGGAAGAAGAGAAAAAAGATTAAGAGAGGCAAGAAATGTGACCGCCCTCTCACATTTTAAGTAGCTGTAGGTACCTATGTGTTCCAGTTAGATTTTCCTCCCTCAGTGCCATAAATGTACAGCTGGTGGAGTGGGATCCTATATTTATTTCTTAGCTTTTATTTCATACATGTCCAAGTGCTCAGTGAAGAATGTTGGTACCAGTGTCAGGGATCTATGTTTTGTGTTTAATTTGGATTGCTGTTTTCTTTCCTTCAAATTCAGTCTGCTATTAAGAAGGGAGAGCTCTCTTCCCTTTTCTGTTTTTCAGACTTTACCATGATTAACAAAAGTGTTGGCAGCAAAGTGTTGGTCCTTGGTGGTATTTGCATAGCTTCTTTCGTTCAGAGCATATTTTAGTGAAACCTGGGCAAAGTCATTTCCCCTCAGAGGGTTTGCTCAGGCGAGACTGATTGGAGTTTAATGAATAGCTTAACTGAGGATGCAGAGAGGCAGCTGCAGCCTGCTAACTGTTCCTCTCCACTGTATTTTCTTTGTGGTACTAACTGCAGTAGAAGTCAATCCAGCCTTCAGCCCGATTCTCCATTTAGTTAGATCAGATTTACTCTGTAGTAACTCCACTGAAGCCACCAACTTTATTCCAGACATACACTAGAGTGAATGAAAGGAGGATCAGTTTACTCCTATTTTTTCCCCTGACTCGGGATAAATACCAGAAATGTATTTGCAGAGTTAAGCATTGCTTTTTTTGAATAGTCACAATTTGAAATACACCTCTGTGTTGGTAATTTTCTTGATTTCATGAGGTCGAATAAAAATAATAGGTACTAATACTCTTTTTTTCCTGATCATATTTTGTATTCCCTATATTAGAAATAGAAGCAAACAGTTAAAATAATAACTGTAGAGCAATTGCTTCAGAAGTATCTATTAAAAAACCCAACTCATTATGGGAATTGTCACAGGGAAATAATTGCCATAAAAACATCTTAACGCCGTTAGCAAGCTGTAGGTATTCCCCCTATGAAACTAGTCATAGTCTTCTCACACATTTAATATAGCTATTAATATAGATATGAGTTTCAACTGGTGCCATTTGTTGGTTCCTAGAGAACATATAATGAAGTCTTATGTCAAAGGACCCTGGTTTATCTCTTGTTTCAGCACAGCTAGGTCTCTGGCATAAAGCAGATTAACTCCACAGAACAAATTCACTCACAAATATATGGTCCAAAACAATACATTGTAGACGTGGAAAAAAGCCATTTGCAGTTTACTTCCATTTGTGATTGCACAGGACTATAAAAGTTCAAGGCTGTTGCAGGTTCGGTGTACAGGCTTTCCCTGTGTAGTCTGTTGTCCTGATGGGATTGCCCATTCTGCTCCCCATGTACAAAAGGAAGGATATTCCTACTGGCAATTTAAGATTCCTTATCAGAGGGAAAATCAACCAATTTTTAGAGACAAACATACCTGGTGGACTTAACTGGTAGTGAATGACAGAACACCCACAAGCTAATGCCACCAACAGGTTCAGAAATAACTTATGCTGTTTGTTTCTGTTTTTATTCAGGAGGAAGAAACACACAAAGGAAATCTTCAAAGGTGAGTAAAACTTACAGGGAAAAAAACAGCAAATATTCAGCTGCCAGAGCTATAGCTCTCTGGTGCCCAAACCACAGAGCTGAGGCATAGCCATGCCACCTCCTAAGCAGCCTGCGAGCCAGATTAATGGATTTACCCAGGGATTAATTTGTCTCAATATGCTTCTGTTCTACTCTGATTAACTTGGGCCACATTCAGCTGTGATGCACAAAGATCAAACTGTATGAACATGCATGAAGCTGCAGCTTACACTGAAGGCTACACCTACCTTAGCAAGTAGTACAGACCTGTAGACATCGATATATAGAGGAAAACAGTTGGTGCTGAGGACCTGACATGCCCCTGCATGTCAAGGATGTTTTGCTTTGGACTAGTTCTGGTCTGATCCCATGGGCTGAATACCCACTTAACCCTAGAGTGCATTAGTTGTGCTTCTGGAGAACATCTTCCAGCTCACTTTTATCCCAAAGGAACCCAGCCCATGCTGTCTGAGATTGCCCCCTGATGCAAACCAGAGCATCTGAATAGGAGATCCACTTCAAAACTGCACTCCTGATCTCACCTAACTCCCTAATGTAGGTGCACCCTAACTGCAGCTGGTGCTCTTGATTAAAAACTCACAGTGTGATTTTACTGTATCCTCTGGACCACTGATATATAAAACCCACTGCTTGCTGAATCCTCACCCAGCTCGAGTTACCCCATTGAGCTGACTCTGATAACTACACTCATTTGCATTTTTAAGTAGTCCCATTCAGAAAGCTTCTTTTGTTGTTTGATTTTTCTTAAAGCCAAGCAGTAGGACAACTCAGCTGAATGCCTGTGATCTGTACCAAGTAGCAAAGTGTGGGAAAGCCAAGAATCCAGCAGTATCACATAGTGATTCCCTTTAGTTGAATTATAGCATGAGCTCAACTCACCAAGCCAGTTCAATGTAACAGCATCTAGGCTGGATGTCCCACATTGCTACGCACCAGCTGTGCAGCCTGGGCAATCTCAGGAGTGGAGGTGGACTTGCTGGTTTCCCAGCAAGTCAGAAATACTCCACACTTGCTTTGAAAAGCGTGCCTCGTATTGTCGCAAAGACTCATTTTCTGTGAATGGTGTATTTCTGAAATGCATCCTACTGCTCCATATTTCAGACGTTTGCCAAGCAGTAATCCATGAGAAAGCAGTAAATTAAGAGCCATTAATAAGCCATTTGGTACTTCTAATGACGCATCAGGAATGTCTGCGTTTCACAGGTATTTTAAAAATAATAAAAGGGAACTTTAATGAAAGAGAGGGCTAAAGTGGTTTCATACATAAGCAGATAGTGAAAGTCAGGTTTCCTGAGTTAGTTTGCTGCTGAAAATAGGTCGTTCTGTGAGAGTTTCCAAGCCTATGAGTGACGCTCTTGTGTTCCCCTCTCCAGGGCCATGTCCGTTTCTTCCATGTCAGAATTTCAGCGCCTGATGGATATTTCTCCATTTCTACCAGAAAAAAACTTGCCTTCATCCAGCAGCAAAGATGACTTAACCCCTCCCCTGTCACCTGATGATCTGAAATACATTGAAGAATTCAACAAAAATTGGGATTACAGTAACACTAGGAACCATGGTGGGGCCACCGAGAAGCCTGCTGAAGGCTGGGCAGAAAGGACAGAAATTGGGAAAGCCGGGATTGATCCTGCTTCAGATCCCTTCCAGGCATCATCATGGTACCTCACCACCAGTGTCACTATGACAACTAACACCATGACCAGCCCGGAGCACTGCCAGAAGCAGCCAACCAGGAGTCATGGTGTGACTGAAAAAATGGGAGTTCGGGTCTTTCACAGCCCACCGGTTGTCCGTAGGTTTGATAACTCAGTGATAGCTGGCAGCGAAGGGAAAAACCAGGTTGAGCCGGACTTCCTGTTTTCTGTGACCAAAGCTATGGGGAATGTCGCTGAGACAAAAGGTGCTTCTTCGGATATGTTTGGAAGATGGTCTTGTGACCTGGCCAAACATCATAAGGATTTTCTGGAGAGTGGTCTTCATCCCATTGAACGTCCTATTTGCACTACTGTGGGCTTTGCCTCACCCTTGCATGGCTTGGAGATGTCCAAAAACATGAGTGATGATATGAAGGAGGTCGCTTTCTCTGTCCGAAACGCAATACGCTCTAACTCTAATGCAACAGAGCCTCAGTTTAAGGACATCGCATGTCAAACCAACGGTATGAGAACGACAGGGACGCAGACCACCCAGACGATCAGTGTTGGCTTGCAGACGGAAACCCTGCGCAGTATCACCAGCAGTCCACACAAGTGTCTGACACCAAAGGGGGGGTCCACACCTGTCTCTTCGCCATCCAGAAGCCTAAGAAGCAGGCAAGTGACCCCCGTCATTGAAAAGGTCCAGGCTAAGTTTGAACGCACATGCTGCTCCCCCAAATATGGCTCTCCAAAGCTGCAAAGAAAAATCCTTCCCAAATCAGATCAGCCAAATAACCGGACTTTGCCTGGCACACCTCAGAAAGGATTCAGTGAGTCCGCTTGGGCTAGATCAACTACTACAAGGGAGAGTCCTGTCCACACCACCATCAACGATGGCCTCTCCAGTTTGTTCAACATTATTGACCATAGCCCCATCTTTCATGAGACCTTCCAAAAATGCCCCAGGTCTAGCAGCCGGTCCAGGTCAGCAGAACCCAGACCAGAACTGGGCCCAGTGCAGGAGCCATGTACAAATGCCCGTGGCAGATCACCCAGTCCTCTCCGGTTGGGGACAGAGACACAAAAGGAAGAAGGGACTGAGGTGACAAGTATCAGGCAGGACTTATCTGCTCCTCCAGGGTATACGCTTACAGAAAATGCTTCCAGGATCTTGAATAAGAAACTTCTGGAGCATGCCTTAAAGGAAGAGAGAAGGCTACCTTCACACAGCCCACCAAATCTTAGCAATGACAACAGCACAGGAGAAATTGTCAAAGTAGATCCAGGGTCCATAGAGGTAATGAGTTTGTTTGTTTTTCCTCCTATAGCTAAATGCACTCTTCTTTGAACAAATGCATTATGAGATCTTTTGCAGTCCTAGTGAGTATTTACAGTGAATATCCTAGTCCTGTCAAGGTACCACCAGCGAGTCCCAGTCATGAAACTATTGGATTAGTCACTGAAGAACTCGTTAAAGAATTGAGTTTCTATCCTGACAGCTTATCGGGCTTGAAAGCATCAGAAGAGCTTTATCCTTTACAGGATAAAGATGCCTTTACAGGATAAAAATGGCTCTCCCCTGAATGACTGGGATAAGGGTTTTCTGTCACAAAACACACAACACGTTACAGATGCGCTAGGGACTCTAGGTTTGAGTAAATTTCTCTTATGCTGGGTGGAAAGGTAGACTCTTTCTCCTATGCAAGAATGGGTGTTAACAAGTTTATGTGAAAAATAGCCTTTACAATACCCTGAACCAAAACTTCAGGGCCTTCAGCATACTTTTTCTGGACGTATCTGATGTAAGTTTGGCTTGGGTCTGTGAATGTGATTAAATGACATGACATTTGGTACTGACTGGTGCAGCCTCACAAAAAAAAGAAAAAAAAAAAAGATAATCAACTAGTCTAAGCACATATATACTTAGTGTTTAAGAACTCTCTATTGATATTTTGCTGTCAACAGTGTAACAGTCATCATCTGTCTCAGCAGGTATGCCAAGTATTGGGGGTGAGATTCTCAGGTACAGTAATGTGCTACAGCAATCAACAAAAAAGAGGGTGTAATGATGGACAAAAGCTTTCAGTTATCAGTGTCTAAGCTTCCTGTTTCTGGTGAACCTTTGTGCACATGAGAGTGTTGCCCTGAGGAGGCCTGAAGAAGCTGAATTGTGCCCGGCACATGTCGTCTTTCTAGTACAGCACTGAAATGGCATGTGCCCTGCTGGTCAGTGATACTCCCCAGGGCAGGAGCCCTTGTCCTCTCTGCCCCATTAGTGTCCTGATGTTTCGGTGGGCCCCGGCCGCAGGCAGCTGCTCTTCCTTGACCCCTACGCACCCCAGACATCCCACCTTGGCCTCACTAGGCTCACTCCTACCATTCCTGCCTCAGATAGCCTCAAGGGCAGGTTCAAACCCCATTTTCTAAGTCAACATTTGGCTTGAAGGATTTGTGGGAACATAAGCACTGAAACTTTTGATCTGCAGTTTGCCTTGCACTAGCAGGTGGTTCTCAACGGACAATCGGATCCTCTTTTGTAGGTACTGCTCAGAGGACATGATCTTTTTTGCCTAATAGAGGATCCAAAGCTAAGGATATATTCCTTATATGCAGTTTAAACAGATACAAATAGGGAAATTTGTACATATAGAAAAGAAACCACATGCACATTATAAATAACAGTGAATGAAAGTGGGCTTTGTGCAGAAACCTCAGAGTGAATAAAAGTGGAAAGCAGCCTCATTTATTTGACTCTTTCTAGCTATCTCTGTATTTTGTCCTTAGTTCGAAATACTGGGAATGCACTACCAGTCCTTATTAGAAAGTGTGTTGCGCTCTTACAGGTTCAACTCAGCTTTGCCTTCAAGGCATCCCTGGAAACTCTTGATTTCCTCCTGCATCTTTTAAATGTCTCAGCAGATTTCAACTATAAGTAAATGGATGACATCCCACATCATCACAAATTGCTGTTGGCAAAATACAACTAGCATCAGTACCTGAGTTTGGTGCACGGAGTGATTTGTGTCAATGCTGTTTAGCAAAAACCCATTGACCATCAACCTGGCAAAAAATTGCTCCTCTTTCTGAATTCTCAGTATCTTTTGCTAATTTTTTGAGTTCCGAGCCTCAGAGCTAAGACTTGTTTTTCCTTGCAACTCTTACTCGGTTGTTATGACTCTTGTCTAGATGCACAGGTTATGATCTTTGGGTGGTCCTGTCATTTCTCAGGAATATGCATTGAAAAGGAAGTTGGTTGGCGTTCACACGATGAGTTTAGCTTTTCCTAGGTGAGGTGATGGTTTACAAGATGTACTTAATGGAGCATGGGTTCACTGCTGAAAACAAAACCGCAAATAAGTTTAGACTCTGCAGATGCCTTGGGTATTTATGGATTACACTGACCACACAAATTACGCTTTGTATAAATTCCACTTAGCACATACTGTACAAAGCCAGATGCAGCAGCTCAGCGAATTATGATCTTGGAGGAGGCAGGCTGTGCTTGGGGCAGCGTTGTGTCAGCACTGCCCCTACCACCCTCCCGTAGATCCCTGCTCTGCTTCCCCCTCCCCTTTTGGTTTCTGGCCAAGACAAGTGACCTTCTTACCACCAAACGCCTTCTTGTTTCTGCAGTCATGGCACGGTACATTAATGACTTTTAGACTTGCATGGAGCACCTGTTCGTGACTTTTCTTTAATTTGAGCTTCTGAGTGGTTTAATTACGTGATTTTATTTTATTTTCCTGTTGCAAATATGAAATCTAGTTCACATATATATTTATATATTTATGTACATACGTATGTGTGCATGTGAGTGTATATGCATACATAGTGGTAATAACTCTGTATTTTCTAACTTGCCCAGAGCTGCTTACAAGCAAATTCATTCAGTGCAGCCTAGTAGTGTCTTATCCTGCTAATTCACTAAACCACTATCTTACTTGCATATCATTGGGTTTATAAATATTGCTATTAAAAATGCAGATTAACATTACCTAACTAACAACGTAAGAGCAGTATGAACATTTTTCTTCTATGACTAGCAAGGCTGTAAATCATAAAGGTTACACAACAGTCCTGGACTGGGAGTCAGACCCATTTCTGGAGACAGCACTGGGAAAGGACCGTCCACACGGATCCACGGAGGAGAGGGCAGCTGCTGCGTCTTCTGCTCGCTGGGGCAGAGCAATTGCCACATTGCTGCTGA